ATCTAATAAAGCTGAGAGTGCCAAGATGGCAAATTATGGACCATGATATAAAAATTGTTTTAATCCCAAGGATTTTCAGTGATGTATTGACTCAGGAGCCTCCTCTCACTTGACATACAGTAAATCATTTTTCAGTAGATTAGACGAAAAATATTGTGGAACTGTTACTGTTGCGAATGGAGAGAAAGTTGAGTACATTGGTCGAGGGGATGTCCGTTTGAACGTTTTTGTAGAGAATAAAAGCTTTTCTGTAGATTTGACTGACGTACTTTTGGTGCCATGCATTGACAGTAATCTGATTTCTGTCTCTAAACTCTGTAGCAAAGGTTTTAGTACAATATTTACTTCAACTGGCTGCTTCATCGGAAAGGAAGGTCTGGAGCATTTACAAATTGCTAAGAAATCAGGTGATATGTATATTGTGAAGGCTAAAACCGAGAGATCATATTTAGTTGGAGACGGAGTGGATAGATGCTGTGTACATGAATGGCATCGCAGACTAGCTCATAGAAATATGCATGATATATTAGCAATGAAAGACAAAGGTTTAAAGATTACTGATTGTAATTGTACTGTCGTGTGCGAATCATGCATTGCTGAAAAAATTACTCGGAATTCATTTCCAAAAATGGCAACACCAGTAGAAAATACACTTAACTGTATTGTCAGTGATATTTGTGGCCCGATGCCAATGACATCAGTTGGTGGATTTCGTTATTTCGCAACATTCACAGATGTTTATTCCAAGTTTAGTGCTGTTTTTCTATTGAAGAAAAAAAGCGAAGTACAGTCAAAAGTTATTGAATACTTGGAACTGTTAAAGAACACCTTCGATAGGAAGGTTAAAATGTTTCATACAGATCGAGGGACTGAGTACTTAAGTGAGGAAGTTCAAAAATATTTACGTTCAGAGGGCATTCGCTTTCAGTGAACTGTAGTTTACTCACCAGAGCAAAATGGTATTTCCGAGAGAAAGAACAGGACATTAGTTGAGGCATGTAGGACGATGCTTACTGAGTCAGGTATGCCGAGAGAATACTGGAATGAAGCAATAATGAATGCCAACTACACTCTGAATCGTGTTCTGAGCAAGGATAGTGTTAAAACTCCATATGAAAAGTTTTTTGACAAGAAGCCAAATTTTTCAAACTTAAAAGAGTTCGGTGTTGGTGCTTATGTGATGATTCCTCATCAGAAGCGAAAAAAGTTAGATCCCAAAACTGAAAAGCTGGCATTCGTGGGATATGAAGGATAGTTGAGAGCATATCGACTTGCAAATGTGAAACAGGAAAAGATAATTGTGTCACGTGATGTTGTGTTTCTGAAAGAAAAGTTCATGAAGATAAATCAGAATTCATCTCATGAAATGAAGAGTAGCAGCACTGAATTGGTACCGTTTCCGTTTTCTTCTGGTTCTACAATTGATGTTCAAGCATTCAATGATTCCGAATTGTTCTATGATGCTGAGGACTCACAATATGATGAAGAGCATGAAGAAGAGACAGATCAAGATTATAATGAATCTGCTATTTTTGAGAATGATTAAAGACAGGATATTGTCGTTGATGATAATTTATTGAAAGATCAGAACATTTTGGTTCAGAAGGAGAATGGAGTAAGTGTTGAAACTAGAGGATCAAGTAGAAGAAATAAAGGAAAGAAACCTGATCGTCTTGGTGATTATGTTACTTATATATCAAGAGGTGACTTTGAGCTTAAGACACTCAAACAGGCTATGATCTGTGTTGATGCTGATAAGTGGAAAGGAGCTATGGAAGACGAGATTAAGTCTATTAATCAAAACAAAACCTGGGATTTCGTAAAATTATATAAAGCAAGATTAGTTGCTCAAGGTTTTTCCCAAAAGGATGTAGAAGTTTATGATGAAGTTTTTGCTCCAGTAGCTCGATCAGCAACATTTAGGATTCTCATGTCAATAGCTGGTGTTAATAATTATCATATGAAACAGTTTGATATCAAGACTGCATTCTTGAATGGTGATATTGAAGAGGAGATATATATGAAGCAACCACCTGGATTCGAGAAGGGAAATGATGTTTGTAAGTTAAGAAAAAGTCTTTATGGATTGAAGCAAGCAGCAAAAGCTTGGGATAAAGTTTATCATGAAGCAGTGATCAATTTTGGATTCAAGCAAAGTGAAGTTGATAAATGTCTGTACAGCATGAATAGAGGAAACGACAATTGCTATATGATTGTTCATGTCGATGACATTCTAGTCGCATCGAATAGTGAAAAACTGATAGAAAAATTTAAGAATCACAAAGGAAGTCTTTTTGAAGTAAAAGATATGGGAAGCATAAAGCACTTTTTAGGAATTGATATGAAACGTGATAAAGATGGAAATTTTAATATAAGTCAGAAACAATACATTGAGAAGATTGTGGAAGAAGCTGGACTTAATGATGGAAAATGTTCAAAATACCCTTTGATGACTGGTTATTTCAGGCATCATGATGAAAATTATTTAGAATCAAATAATGAGTATAGAAAGCTCATTGGAAAACTGTTGTATATTAGCACAAATACAAGACCTGATATAGCAGCATCTGTTGGAATATTGAGCCAAAAGATTTCAAAACCTACAAAGACCGGTTTGATAGAAGCGAAAAGAATGCATGGTTTGATAGAAGAAAAGAATCTGAATGGAACCAAAAATCTATGTTTAAAGTTGAGTGACAAGAAGAAAGTTGGGAAATTGGAAGTTTATTCTGATGCAAGCTGGGCTGAAGATTCGTTGGATCAAAAATCTATCAGTGGCTTTCTTTGTGGAATTAATGGAGGTATTGTTTCATGGTACAGCAGAAAACAAGACGTAGTATCTTTATCATCCATGGAAGCTGAATACATCGCACTATCAGAAAGTTGCAAGGAGCTAAAATGGGTAAAAATGTTAACTGATTCATTTTCTGAGTTTGTCGTTCCAGATAGAATTGTTCTATATACAGACAGTCAAAGTAGTATGAAATTGATATCCAATCAGAAATTTAGCAACAGAAGTAAGCATATTGATATTAAATACCATTATGTGAAACAATTGGTTGATTTAGGAGAGATTGAACTGAAATATTGCAGCACTGACGTAAATATAGCAGATATGATGACCAAGCTTGGACCAAGCCGCTAGGAAATATTAAACTAAAGAAATTTACTGACAATTGTGGACTGCGTTAGTAATATTAACATAATAATATATACGAAGTTAATGTTAAGGAGGAGTATTAAATTATTGAATTCTCTATTGATCAAAGCAATCTGATTTTGATTCCAAAGTTATTCTGTTAAAAGATTTCATTAAAGAAAGTTGTGTTTAAAAGTTTATCGTACATAAATCTATTATTCTATAGAATTATCCAAGACAGACAGTTCCAGAATTTTCCATTAAGTTTATCACGAGATTTTCCTTCATTTATTTTGTCATAATGAAAATATCTTCAAAATTAATTTTTGCTGTTATTTTACATGAAACTGTAATTGTTTTGTCTAAATTAGGTAGAAAATGGTTTAAAGTATTAAAAAAATTAAAAATGATCATTAAAAACATTAATGAATGAAGTTTTTTTGAAATTTATTTTTCCTATGTGGAAATTTTTCACCACAACCTAAATCTTTCATAAAATTTTCAAGTTCTATTAGTCGTAGAACTATGCAGTTTTCTGTTTTATGTCAAGTTTAATATGATAAATACGGTAGGCTATTCAAATTCCATATGATATGTACAGTTTTGTCAAAAGTTGTTAATGATTATAACAAAATGGTGAAAAATTTTCACCTCAAACATATTTTTCTCAAATTTTTGTCCTAAAATCAATTAAAGATGAAGACATTTGTGATTCATTTAATACTTTAAACCATTTTATACCCAATTTAGACAAAACAATTACAGTTTCATGAAAAATAACAGCAAAAATTAATTTTGAAGATATTTTCAGTATGACAAAATAAATGAAGGAAAATCTCGAGAAAAACTTAATGGAAAATTCTGGAACTGTCTGCAAACATAGATTTTTGTTGCTTAAATACTTTAAGAATAGAATAAGTACAATAAATAACGTTTACAGCTCAAAATTTTAATATTTTCAAAGTGCGGCTAAACGAACTTCGCACTTTATTGTTGTAATTTATAAAAAAATTAATTAATTTAACAAGGCACAACCTTTAGCTGACTTATCTTTACTAATTTAAAACATACTTGAAAACAGCTTTAAAAATAATAAATAGTTGCCATCCTTAAAGTGTTTATAAAAATGAAAACTGAAGAATTTATGGTGCGGTTAAACGAACTTCGCGCACCTTATCTCATGTGTGCACATATTTTCAAAACACACCAGATTTTATTTTTATCCACCCAGGTTAATTTTCCTAAATATTGATTTTTTTTGAAGACTATAAACAATTCTAAGTAAAACTTGAAAACATTTAATAATTCAATTAATAATTTTGTATTTTAAACAGTCAAAAAATGAAGAAAAAAAAACAAGAAAAACTTAAAAATCTTTAGTTGAAATCAAATTTATATTCTTTTAGAAATCTCAAAGTGTCCTGTAAAAATTACAATACTTACAATACTTGTATGGCAATAAAAATTTCTTTTCATTTATTTAAAAATACTTATTAAAAAGTAAGTTTTATTTTATAACGTAATCGTATTTTTAAAACTTATATTTGTCCTTTTCAAAGTTAAAGGTTTGACTTAAAAGTCAAGTTTAAGCTAGTCATTAAACATTATATATGATATTGAATTTGTCTTAAAACTGGCACATAATGAACCAAGCATGAATGGGAAAATAGATTTTTTTGGCCATTCAGGAAAAATCTTGCGACAAACCTAATAGTTCTCAAAACCCCCAGTTTGTAACGACGCATAGTTTGGAATTCACTGATTTCAACGAAGTTGGTGCACCTTTAATATAATTTTCAATTTTTCTTAATTGTTTTTTTAACATGTCAATACTCAACATGAAAATTTTCAAGTGAAAAATGGTGGATTGAATAATATACTGCCTTAATATTACAGCTGTCATGTAGTTTCTCATCTTTCAGTCATTATCTAATTCACTTAAAATCTTTTCTTTTCCTTTACAGTTATGAACAAATAAAGAAATAAAAAAAAAGAAGAAAAATGTCTGACAAACAAAATAAACAACCTGGTTGGATTAGACCCTCACCAATGAGATCAAATCCACCAAGATTAATGTCGCCAACTGCACAACCGCGACAAAGATCTCCAACTCCGACTTTTAATGCTCGTCAACTTACAGATACGCCTCCATTTAGTCAAACACAGCAATCGCCAACTCCTCCATTAAGGCGTACAATACCCCAAACACCAACGGGATTCACAACTGTTTATGAATCACAAAGATTTTCTCCATCTCATCCGATTCCGCCACAACAAAAATCGATTCAGCAACAACATCAGAATATTCCAATGTCTCCAATCAATCTACCACCAGATTTGACATACCCTCGTCCCTATCATAGTACTTTTTCTCCTGCTCCATCTGCTTCAACACCATGCAGTATTCCTCCATTCTCACCAACTCCAATGTATACAGAGCGTGATCATGTTAAAGCAATGAACGATTTTTATGTTGTTCCACTTGAACCGGCAAATTTGAGTAGAGGAGTAACTGTGTATGACGAGGAAAATGAAAATCGTCCATCTACTGCTGACATCATAGCGCAACAGTCACAAGATTATGTCGATGAAAAATTGGCTGAATACCAGGCTACAATTACTTATTTGCAAGGTATGTTAAAATTTAATATTTAGTAGCTACTTGAAACGAAGCAGACAAAGGAAACATAATAAACGAAGTAAATGAACTCTCTACGAAGCTATTATATTTAATTAATTATGTCTACATGGTGAAACACAAGAAGATTTATAAGAAAAATTAATGTGGTTTTCTTTCTGAAGTTATTCGCAAATTTATTTACAATTCAAAGAATAAACATTGTAGGGTTATTTTTAGAGAAGAGAAATGCAACATACGGAAATGTCTTTTGAATGTACAAAATTTCAGATGTATGAAAATGCTGAATGATCGAAACGTGTAAAAAATGTAAACAAACCGAAGATTTTTTTATGCTCTTTCCCGAAGTAAATCTTTCTCAGAGAGTAACAATTTTCGTGAAAATGACAAAATGAGAATTCAACAAAAACGAAGAGGAATTGCACAATAGTGTTCGTATTTTATTCTCTCTGTGTTCATTTGAATAAAAATTAGAAAAAAATACGCATTTAAAATTGTATTTACGTTGTCAGTGTGAATGAATGCGTAAATTAGAATCAGTATAGTTTTTGAAAACGAAAATGTGTTAAAGTCTCGTGAACTTAATCTAGATTTTGTTTTATAAATAAAGCTGAGGATTGAAAATCCACTTTACTCGTGATCAGCTGTTTAAGTTTACATTGTGCGGCATATATTTTGTTTACTAATACACTTGCTTGAATTAGCACGTGATTTTTAATGAATTACTTCTTCTTTGTAATAATTGTTTTTTTTTGACCAGTTGCTTTGGTAACCACCAGCTTAACTCCCAAAACAAAAGTAATAAGTACTCGCATACCGATAGATTTTATTTTAAATCTAACTGACCTCATTAAATTCTTTACCCCTAGTAAACAAGGAATTTTGTTTATTGGTTACCAACTCGATTTATTACCTTTTAGATTCCTTAACATCAAAAAGGCCAATTCAATAAATTTTCTTTATTAAATCGATACATTAAAGATTCATGAGCTATTATCAGGCAATATCAATTTCAATCTATTTTAAATTTATTAAAGAACATAAAAAATATTAAAACCAAAAATTGAATTTAGATAATTTTAAAATTTTATAAAAAAAAAATTATATTAAACAGTTGAATATTCATTAGAAGTCAATTTCCTCATCATTGCTACGAGTACACAAAAATTCATTTATTCCTACAACGTAAACATAAACAATTTACATAAAATTCTCTCAATGCTACTACATATAACAGAAAAGAGAGCACTGCTCAGTTTAGAGCCGGCATTCGATGAATTAAGACGCAAAAAGCTTTATATGGCGCTCTTTAACAATTCAGTGTGAGAGGAAAAGACAAAAATCAATTTTATTGAAGAAAAAGATGAAGTTTTGTGTTTTTTAGACGCGTTTTTTAACAAATAAGTTGTGCAATCAATAAAAGAGTTCATATTAAAAATAGCGTAATATGTCTAAAAGCATTAAAATTATTCAAAGTGGTGAAATTAAAGAAAAAAAATTTTGAATTTTTATGAATGGAAATTTTATGAAAACACATGGAATAGAAAGAAAACTAATTTTCTCGAAGCCTTTTTAGTGTGACGTGGTAACTCTTACTTAAAAAGTGTTTACTAATCGATAAAAGTGTATGATTATAACAAAAAAAAAAATAACGTAAAAAAAATGAAACAAAAAATATAATTAAAGTATTATGGAACGAACCAATAAAAAAGATCAAGATTTTGAAGGTCACGATGAAGTTGACCGAGCTGAGACTTATCAGCGGGTTTCTTCACGACGCGTGACAAAAAAAATATATAGTGATCCAAATGTATCTGGAATAGAAATTTTAGAAAGTCCAGGTCCTGACGATTCGGATTATCATACATTCCCACATTCTTCCTCACATTCATTTTCTAAATCATCTTCTGCATCGATCGCTTCCAGCGATCGATTTCCATCTGAAGAAAGTTTTCGGTCATCATCTTCACTTAGTCAAACTAGTTCTGGCAAAAAAGTCCACACTACTTTAATAAGAATTCATTTAGGTGATGATAAAAAAATTTCGCATGAATGGTATTCAGATTTCACAAATAAATCGCATCATAATCAAGCTTACAGTTCGCCTCTTGTTAACAGATCAGCGAATTCAAGTAGTCAATTTGAATATGATACACATATTGCACAAATGAGAGGTAACTATTAGATCACATTTTAGTTCGGTTAAATTATTTTTTAAGTTCAACTTAAGAGTAGTTTCAAAACGAATGCTTTTCAATGCGAAACAAGGTTTTTTTTTATATTATAAGTAACACAGACGTTGAATAATTTATGAAATTTTATTTTTCTTTGAACTGTACGTAGCATTATGATGCTTATAGCCTATACGTAATATTCTTTTCTTTTCCTTTCTTTTTGCTACACATCTAATGAATCATAGTAGTAACATTATGAGAATTATTTAATAAACAAGATTTTAAACTACATTGAGCATAATTTAAGAAGATTGAAAACAAAATCTTGTATGAAATTTTTACCAATGTATTTTTTTAACTATTTAACATGCTTATAATAAACAATTTAAAATGAAAAAAAAAACTCCACAATTCACACACAAATAAAATGACCAAGGTCATATGCGGTCTTTTATTAGAGAGCCACACTGAGCTAGAAATTGAATGAAGAAAAATATAAATGACATGACATAATCGCTAAATATGGTTCGTAAATTCTCTTCGTCCACTGTTGAATGTGAAGAAGAAAACATTCGCAACAACATTCGTAGTTTTAGCTGCAATCAATATAATATATAATATTATTTTAAAAATCTAATATATTTATTAAAAGGTTTTTAATTTGCATAAATTTTATGAATGTGAGATATGCTTAATTCATAATTATTTTAATATAAATCGTTTAAGTTCACTATAAAAAGGCACTCCTTTTATATTACATATGCCAATCAACTTTAACAAAAATTAAATTTATATATTAAACCTATATAATTAAACTTATATGAGCTTTTTTACGTGCAGAAAATTTAACTCAAAAACAGTATTTTCATCATAATAACATTCTTTAAAAAAAAATAACTTAAGTAAATAAACAACAGAAAAATTCTTTTATTAGTAAAACAGAGCCAACCATTTTTGTGTTCCATAAAATCTCCCCTTTAGTTATTTGTTAAAACTGCAAGCATATAAAATATGTGACTATGCGTACCAGGAAGTTTTGTCTGTCAGGCTTTCAGTTTCGTGGTTTGAAGTTACAAATATATATATATATATATATAAAAGTTACATTTTTAATGAAAGAAAAACAGGGGAGAACATTTTAGGTTTTATGAACTTAAAGCAATTTAGCAACTATGAACATTTATCGGAAAGTTTCTTTCTTCAAATTATATGCATTGCTCTAAGTCTATTTAAATTACATGTTTAATAGTTATTTACCATTTATTTTATATTTTTTCCTCGTCGATGCCAATAAAGATGAACAAGAACGAGTTCAAAAGAAAACTTTTGTCAATTGGATCAATTCCTATTTGGCAAAGCGCAATCCTCCTTTACGAATCGAAGACTTGTATTCAGATTTGCGTGATGGAACCAAACTTATTGCCTTACTGGAAATTTTATCAGGGGAGCGTCTACCAGTAGAAAAGGGTAGAAATATGAAACGTCCTCATTTTCTTAGCAATGCAAATACTGCTCTACAATTTTTAGCAAGCAAACGAATCAAACTAGTTAACATCAATTCTACTGACTTAGTTGATGGGAAACCAGCAGTTGTGCTAGGTCTCATTTGGACAATAATTCTGTACTTCCAAGTAATAAGTTATTTAAAGTTATTTTTTATGTATCATTAAAATGTAAAATTTTTATTTAAAAATAGATTGAGGAAAATAGTCGTATCATGAATTATATGGAAAATGTTCCATCAAGTAGTAGAACAGATGGAAAGAAACAATTATTATCGTGGGTTTCAAAAACTATTCCAAGTGAGTTAGGAATAGAAATTAAAGATTTTGGGCCCAGCTGGCGTGACGGGTACGCATTTATGGGCCTTATTAATGCAATTGATGAAAACCTCATCGACATAAATAAATATAGAGATGCATCAAACAAGCATCGCTTGAATACTAGCTTCAACGTGGCAGAGAGCGAATTGGGAATCCCAAAATTGTTGGATCCGGACGATGTTGATTTGGCTAAACCTGACGAAAGAAGTGTGATGACTTATGTAGCTCAATTCCTTCATAAATATCCTGAGCCGAAGGTAATTTATTCATATAAAAATTGTTGTTTTATAAAAAATTGTTCACCAAACGCTTCTTTGTCGTTCATTTTTTCTAAAAAATAGCCATTACATGCTTCATCAGGGGAAAGCAACTTCCAACAACTCCAAAACATTTTACAATGGATGCGTGAACAAATAATCAAGTATGATAGCATGAATGGAAGTTATCCTCTTGATGTTGAAATGTACATGCAGTCTGTAACTCTAACAAATCAAAAATATGATACTTTTGAAAAAATCAAGCAAAGCGTCAATACTCCCGACAATTTATTAATTGAATTTAAAGACTCGAAGAAGAGATTGAATACTCTTTTGGATGAATGGAAAAAATATCTCGATTATAATCTTCCAGGTGAACTTAAGGCAATTGGTGTTTGGTTATATCAAGCTGAAAAAATGCTCATTGATAACGATTTGCCAGACACAATGAACGAAGAAACTGCCGCTCTAATCAGTAAGAAAATTGAAACACACAAGAAATTTTTCGCTGCTTATCCTGATGTTTTGGATAGATTTAATACTATTAAAGACAATCCACAATATCAAAATATATCACCAAAAATTTTTGAATATGTTGAAAAACGTCTTCTTGATATTGAGCCTAAAGCTCGTGAACGTCGTATTAGATTGAAATTTATGGAACATAAATGTTGCTTGATTGCCTTCCTTAACTTGCTAGAAAATAAAATTTCAAGTGTTCGTTATGGTAACGAAGATGTTGTTCGTCATTCACTTGATCAAATACGAAGCTTCTTAACTCGCAATAAAATTGTTGAAGAGTTCGAAAGAGCACTGGTGGACATGCGACAAGTTATTGAGGAATATCAAGTTGATGGAAATTTAACTGGTAAAGATATGTATGATATTGACACATTTATGAACGAGACAGAAAATCGTTGGAAGAGTGTCTCGACAGGTTTAAAATGTACCGAGACAATGTTGGAAGAGACATTAAATAATTGGAAAAGGTATAATACAACCTCAAAAGATCTTGACTCGTGGATGGACGCGGCGGAAAATGCTCTTGGTTTTCCAGAAATGGAACGTCTAGAATTTTTTAAGGATATTGCATTAGTCAAAAAGAGTTTTGAGAGTCTTGATGACTTTTATAACTTTTTAAAAACGACATGTGATCGCGAAACTGTCAATGCCTTAGACCATGACTATCATATGCTGTGTCAACGATGGGATCGTATATATCAATATGCTAAGCAATACACACATGCCGGTGATATTCTTAAAAATCGTCAAATTTATGAAAACGGTATTCAAACTTTATGCAGTTGGTTACGGAATTCTGAAAACATATTGGTTCGTCAAAATCTCAATACTGCTGATCAAATAAAACAACATCAAGAGGATTTAAAGAAAATCAGTGGAGAATTGGAAGAAATGGAAGATTTATTTAGAAATATCAGTAAATCGTTTCAATCTCTTATACCTGACATTTCAAGAGACGAAGTTGATCGTATAATGAAGTTGCTTAAAAAGGAAAAAGAGGCTTTGGTTTGTATCAGAGCTCAAATTCCCGTTAAAATGCAACTATTTCATCAAATGCTTTCTCAACAAGAATCAATTGAAATGGGTCAAAATGAAATCACACAGTGGCTTGATGAAGCTGAAAACTTGTTAAGTACTTATAGTTTGGCAACAAGGAAAAGTCAAACCATAGCACAACTTGAAAAACATAAACAATTTTTTGCAAAAACTCTATATTACAAATCTATGCTTGAAAGTAAAAACATTGTTTTGCAGAACCTTTTACGTGCTGTAGACATTGAGAATAATATGGATACAACTGCTGCTCAAGAAAAAATGAGAACAATTAATGAAAGATTCAACTATGTTGTGAGCAATGCTGTACAGTGGGAAAGAAAATTACATGAGATAGTCGCATGCTGGAATGCTTTTGAAATAACTGAAAAACAACTTGCAGAATACCTAAAAAAAGCAAATCATTGGCTTACACAACCATTGACAGATAATCGCGAAGATCTTGATGCGCAAATAAATTTCTTCGAAAATTTGAATGACAAATATGTCAACAGTTTCATTAACGCTGCAAATGATTTATCAAAATATTTACCTACCGCTGGAAAGCAAGATGTTGTAGATATTGTTGATAAATTGCAAGTAAAATGGAATAATTTGATATCAATTGTGCCATTACATCTTATGAAAATACACTTTTATACTGAAAATATTAAATTTACTCACTTAATTCGTGACATTGAAAAAGAATTGAATTATGAAGAACAAGCCTTCCATAGAAATGAAAATCTTGATGAATTATTAGCACAACATGTTCAATTCTTCCAACAAAGTCCAGTATTAAAAACAGCAGAACTTACATTATCAAAAATGCACAATATTCTTACACATTATAATGCTGAGTTGCCTAATGATAAGGAATTGACAACAGTATATCAAAACAAATCGATTGTATGGCAAAATTTATGCAAGCGTATTGACATCATTTTTAATGATTTACAACAAATTCCGGATCAATGGAAAAATTATCATGAGAAATTTACAAAAATCTCAAGGTGGATGGACAATGTAGAAGAATCTCTTAGTAGATTGACTAAAGAATTAAACTCTTTAGAAGAGTTCGAACGAGAAAAGTTGATTTTCCAGGTAAATAATAGTTTTATTAAAATTATTTGAAACACTGATTTTCACTTTATCCTAATTCCATTTAAACTAAGCATCTTGATAAGGCTTTGGTAAATTCCTTTTTATGCTAAATATTCTGCTTACAAATTATTCAATTATTATTTCATAATAATTTTAATTTTAATTTTAGAACATTTGTACTGAAGCTGATGAAAAACGAGAGGATATGAAGTGGCTGTTAAAAACTCTTGATTATCTTATTTCTCATGCACCTGAAGATGTTGTTCATGTGGAGCAAAATAAATTGGAAGATCTGGTTGCAAGATACAAAATTCTTATTCCAACAATTGAAATAACGATGATAAAAACAGAAGTTTTCTCTAAATGCTACACTTATCGTCAAGATGTTAGTACTATTGTTGCGCTTCTTGAAAAAATTTCTAATCAAGCTGCAAGTCAAACAGCACAACAGCCTGAGAATTTAAATACTGTTAAACATATGATTAAAATACAAGAGTCAGCTATTAATCAATTAGATAATCAACGTGGTCATATTATGACTATGCTTCAAAGAGGCAAAGATTTAAGCAAAGATGTTCATGCACCGGCATTCATTAGTGATGAAGTTAAGAATTTAGAAACTGGCTGGAATCAAACTTATACAACAACACAAGAGAAGTTACATACATTAAAGAATGTTGAAAATATTTGGCAACAATTTGACAACCAAAAACGTGAAATAATGAATCTAGTTAATCTTGCAGAAACCGAACTACGATCTGTAACACCATTGCAAACAAATCCTGCAAATTGTATTACAGATTTGCAGAACAAACAACAGTTACAAGTTCATCTGCAGAAATCAGCTGTTCCCATATTTTCAAAATTAGGACAACTGTTTGAGAAGTTAGTTGCCGAAACACCCATCAAGGAAGAAATGTTCCTTAAAGACATGGGAGATTTGCACAAACGTTTTAACAACACTCTGGATCATTTGAGAGATCGAGTGGATTATCTAGAAAATTATAATTGCAAATGGAATGATTATAAAAAGCGATTGGCTGACTTACACGCATGGGCAACTCAAATTGCTCCTCAAATTATTGAGTCTTTAAAATTGGCTGACTTAGCCCCTGAAGAAAGAAAAGAACGATTAGAAAAATTGGAAGTTGAGTTTAATGAAAAAATGAAAACATTTGAGTTGTTATCTAGCGATGCATTTGATCTTGCCCCTAAAGAAGGAAATATTATGGAGGCTAAGAAGTTGAAGAATGAAGTAAGAAATCTTCATGCCACCATGAGTGGAATAAATAATGCAATTCAAAACAATGCTCAAATAATCAACAACGATTTGACACATTGGCAACAGTATCAAGTTCAAATTAGTGAAATAAAACCATGGGTAGAAGATGCTCCACAATCATTAAGCATTGATGATTATCAGCCAACGGTTATTAATGATGCAAAACAGTTCTGCAATGATATTGAACTTTATAAACAGCAATGCCAAAAGAAAATCATAAAGCTTGATGAAATCGCAAAGATTGGAGAAGAAATCCAATTAAATGATTTTCTTCCAAATAATATTGAATTTTACCAAGCAAAATGGAAGAAGGTTCATGAAAATGCCAATATTCTTGGAGGAAAAATGGGCACACTTACTAACAATTGGGAATATTTCAATGATCAAATTGCTCAACTCGAAGAATGGATTGACGAAAGTAATAATCACTTAAATAATATTTACGACAATTTAGCTGAGTGTGGTATTGATGACCTCGAAAAACATCTCAATACAATGAAATTCTTTGAAAATGAGTTATCTGGAAAGCATGCTGATCTTGTTTCATTGAATCAACTTTCAGAAAAACTATGTATTAATTTATCTCCTGAAGGATCCGCAATCATCAAAGAGAAGTTGAAAATTGTAAAAGAACAGATTGATGGTATTGGAAAAAAAGTTAAATCACAAGTTCAAGCTATTGGATCAAAAATAAATACCAACCAAGAAATCAATACAAAACTTAATAACTTTAATAACTGGATGGAAAATCTTCGCAAAAATATTTTGGAAATTGATAATGTTTCCATAAGAAATATTGAGCCATCACTACAATTGATTCATTCTTTAATAGAACAACATAATGAACGTGAAAATGCTTTTAATGACATATATCAGGATATAAAGAAAATGGCAATTGCAGCCAATCCAGCAGAAGCTACAATTTTAAATGATACTTATAGTGCCTTAGCAAGTGGCTATCAAAACTTAAATAATAATTTATACGACAAGAAAAACTTTTTGGAAAAGTGGGCGGAATTTTTGCATTGGGTGAAAGATATTAAGGAATTTTTAAGACACCAAGGAAAACAAATGTCAGATATTTCTACTCCTCCTGAAATTGAGCAGACTTCAGCAAGTATTGTTGAATATTTAAGTTGCTTACCTGTTTGGAAAGAAACTGCTTCAGAACTCGATTCAAAACCTATCGTACGTATTAAAAATGATTATGACAAAGTAGAGTACGCAATTCCTTTGGTTAATGGCTTAGAAACTGAATTAGAAAATTTAAAGGAAAAATGTACTGCAAAACTCAGCAAGAATAAACAACTTAATGAAAGAAAAATCATCTTTAAGAATCTTGAGAGACAAGTTATTGACAATTTAAATGGTTTTACAAAAGATATTAATCAAATTAATGATATGGTTGATACTAAAGTGATTCAATTCAATGAAGCATTAAGCAAATGTGTTGATGTTAAAAACAACTTGGTGGAATGTCAGCCCATAATAAATCAAATTCATCAAGAAGGTAATGCGTTAATTAAAGATGATTTCAATGATATGATTAATGTTCAAGAAATACTCTTAGTGCTTGATAAAGAATATGGTAATTTGAATGATATTAGCGACGAATCTATTCAAAACTTTACATTACTTACCAAAGCTTCAACTGATCATAAGAAACTCATTGAAAAAGCTAAAAATGAAATACTTAGTATTCCATTCATTGATGAACATGAAATCCTTAATAACCAAATTGTTAAATCAGTTTTGGATGCAAATGTTGATACTGTAAAAAGACAGTTAGAACAATTGAGGAAAATAAAGATGCAAATAGATGACATTGATCGTAAAGGAAATGAAATGCTTAAGTTTTGTGATAATATTAACCGTCAACCACCAGACATAGCGGAAGACGTTCAAGAATTAAAAAATTTGTGGAATGGTGCTCATGAAAAAGTATCGACACAAGCAGTTTTGTTTGACAATATTTCGTCATTATGGCAACAAGTGGATGATTCTGCAATAGAAATTAATAATTGGCTTGACGATATTGATATTATAATATCTGAATCAATTGAAAATAAGAAAGAGGTTGAGAGTGGCTTTATAAGGTTGAATAAATATAAAGTTGAACTTCCTTCATATTTAAATCTCACAAAAGAAATGGAAAACAAAATTGATGAAATAAAAAAAATTCAAGGAGTAACATTAGAACCTCAACAAATTCAACATACGTTGAATATTATCAATGAACGTTTTGCCGAAATCGATGAAAAAGTCAAGGGCTTGGAAAATATTGCAACCAACTTTTCCCAAGATGAAAAAGATTTTAAAATGAAATTGAAAACAGTAAACGAAAATATTAACAAAGCACGAGACAAAATCATTGAATGTGACGATACAAGTGGTGAAATTGGTAAAATTATTGAGAATTTAAACAAATGCTATGTTGTAGATAAAGATTTAGATCAGAATAAAAATGAGCTAACATCATTGTCATCTTTCCTAAATTCTTTGTTGGAGAAGTTCCCAAATATAAAAGAATCATCATTACCTAAGGAACTTGAAAACATCAAAAGACGCCAAGATGTTCTTGTTAAAAACAATGAAAAAAATAAAAGAAATTTATCTGGCAATATTGAAAAGACAATTAAAGATAAAATAGTTAATTGTTCAAAGCTGATTTTACAACAATGTGAAAAGGTTAAATGGTGCAACCCTGATGCTGCCAGTGATAAATACAATTTGGAAGTTAAACTGAGTTCACTCAATGATGTTGAAAAATTCAAAAACGATTGTCTTGAAAAGCTTAATGATATTGATCAATCATTAGAAAAGGCAAACAACTTGAAAAAAGTTAACATACCTGGCCTTGTAGAAATGAAAAATCAATTAAATAAAAATTATGAGCAACTAGTCAAAGATTGTAATGATATTAAATCATCATTAGAAGAAAACATTAGTCTATGGAATAAGTATGAAACTGTTTCTGAATTATTGCTTAATAGTTTGAAAGATCTTGAAATAAAAACTAAAGGAGAAACGGCTTATCAAATTGATTTGTTTACAATAGAGGATAAACAAAAGAATGTCCAAGAATATAAAAAGCAAGTTGAAGCATTGAAACCAAGCCTAAAAGAACTTACCAACCTTGGAACTGAGATAAACAGTAAAAATCAAGAAGCTCACATTAACCAAGTTGTTAATCAAACAACTGCTCGTTATAATATGGTGTCTAATTTAATTAATACAATCCTTGATCGGTTGGCTGACTACAAACAGAAATATGCTGATTATAATGAAGCCAACAATAATTTCTCTACTTGGTTAGCTGATACTAAAACTCAGACAGATAATTTAGTCAAGCTTGCTGATTCAGGCACAAGTTCATCCAAAATTCAACTACAAGATTTAAAAAGTTTGCTCAATCAAATGGTTGCGCGCTTTGATGAATTAAAAACACTTAATGAAAAAGGAGAAGTTTTATACACAGGTGTAACAATGGAAAGTCGTGAAGGCATACGAAAAAATTTAAAACAACTCAGAAATGTTTATGAGACTACACATAAAAAATTGAATTCTTTGATTAAAAAGCTTGATTCGGATATTTCACAGAAAACATCAATTGAAGAAAATCATGAACAAATCAAGCAATGGCTTGCAGAAACATCACCCAAGGTTCTCTCATCTGAACTTTATGCAACATTGCCAGAAAAGAAAACAGCATTGCATGCAAATAAAACATTACTACAGGACGTTGCTTTACATAAAAACTTACTTCAACAATTAGAATCAAAATCTTTAAATATTTCTGATAAGGATGCATTAGTAAGAATGAAAGCTACTGGAAAGGAATATGACAATTTACTTCAATCAATTGAAAACAAAATTGCAACTTATGAGGACCACATCAACAATCATGAATTTTTCGACAGTAAAATTGAAGCTTTCCGTGATGAGTTATTAGGGCTGAAAAATGATTGGGTTGAAACTATTGCAGATACAGTTGAACCAAAAAGCATTGATGACAATATAAAGTTTAGTCAAACAATATTAGAAAAGAAAAATGCATTGGATGATAAATTAGAACAATGTTACCAACAGCTCAATGTTGTAATGAACCAAACTCACGAGAAAGGTCATCCAAATTTGTTCAATTCTTTTAAAGAACAAAAGGATGACTGGCTTAAATTTTTGGCAATGTGTGAAGAAAACCAGCTTAAATATACCATGATTAAGGACCAATGTGACAAATTTAATGATGTATTCTCAGAATTGTTAGCGTTCTTAAAAGAGAAAGAAGCAATAATCAAAGATCAAAATTTGAAAAATAGCTACGAAGCAAAAGTTAATCATTTAAGCATGCTTAAGACCCTTTTGCAAGAAATTAAAGGCAAATCAAATTCACTCTCTAAGATCTACGAAGAAATTAGAAAACTTCCTTCTGAAAATGAATATCACACAAAACTTTCACAAATAACTACTAGATTCCAAACAGCAGAAAACGCTTGCAAGGATCTTCTAAATCGTTATGAGATTTATTGTAATGATCATTTACTTTTTAATGACAGTTATCAAGAGTTCAAAGATGAAATGGATAAAGATCAAGATAACTTAAAGTTTAACTGTGAAATTATTGGAAATTTAGATGGTCTTCAAGAAGTTCAAAAGAAAGTTAAGGAACTTCAAGATAAACAAACTAATGACAATGTTGCTTTTGAGCAATTAGTTGCTCAAGGTGAAGGTCTTTATCCACATACAAGCCCTGATGGTCGTGAACATTTACGACAACAATTAAAACATTTAAAAACGACTTGGAATAACTACAACGAAGATTTAATTGGGCTAGGCCAAAAAATAGATCAATGTGTGCAACAATTCGGAGAATTCAATGATGCACAAGAACAATTGTCCAATTGGTTAAAGGAAGTAGAAAAATCTATTCAATCACACACAGAATTAAGATCTACTCTTCCAGAAAAGAATTTACAACTTCAAAACCACAAATTAATGCATCAAGAAATAATTTCACAAACTGGACTTGTTGATGGAGTTTGTGACAAAGCACAACAATTGATTGATGAAACGAAAGATCCTAATATCAAGAAGTATTTAGATTCAATTAAAGATTTATTCAAAAACATTGTTACAAAGTCAGAAGATCTTTTGAATAAACTCGGTGATGCGGTTAACATTCATAAAGCTTATAATACAGAACTATCCGTATTGAAAAACTGGATTAATGATGAAGTAGAAAAACTTTTACCCTGCGAGAACATACAGGGTGAAAAAAGCGATATATTGAAGAAAATTGAGCGGTTGGAAGCAATTAAAGCTGGAAAACCAACTGGTGACAAACAACAGACGAAATTAATAGATTTGTTTGAGAAAGTTACAATTAATACATCTCCAAAAGGAAGTGAAACATTACTCAAGGAATTGAATGATTTGAAAGATAAGTTTGATAATATTTATATTGAAGCTGATAACTTCTTACAAAAACAAAAAGACGTGCATGATAACTGGAAGCAATTTGAAGATCAACATGACGAATTAAAAAAATGGTGTAAAAACTATGAATCCATTTTTAAAGAATTGCCTCAAAAGAATGATCTTCATGAAAAACTTGAGCTTCTAAATTCTTTTAAAGAACATCAAGATACAATCTTACACAAAGAACCGATTGTTGAACAATTCTTTGACTTTTCAAATGCACTACTTGGCAAAACGGGAGTAGAAAAAGTCAAAATCATGAGCAATCAACTTTTAAATCGCTATAAGCTTCTAACAGTCTTGAGCAAAGAAGTGGTAAATCGTTTGCAAAACATCTATAATGATCACTCACAATTTGAGCAGAAGTATGAAGAAGCTGACACTGAGTTGAAGAAATTAGAAAGCGAAATCAAAAACCTTACAGATAATATGGACTTTAAGACACTAAAAAAAGAATCAATACAGTTGTTAAACATTGAAAAGGACAAAGTTGATTCAATAATTAACAATTTAACAACAATAAGTGAAAAAGTGCTGCCTGAAACAAGTGCATCAGGCCGTGAAAGCATTCGAGAGAATTTACGATCAATTAGGGATCGTTTTGAAACACTTGTTGTAGATTTTAAAAACTTACAAAAATCTATTGATACAAAATCAAATCAATGGGTTTTATATCAAGATATATCTCAACAACTTAACAAGTGGCTTGAGACAATGGAAAATGTACTTGGCGAAGAAGAAAAGAATATAGCTATATCACAACAGGAAATTCGAACAAAGATATTAAAATTAAAGTCGTTGTGTCATGAAATAACCTCCCATAATCGTTTGATAGAAACATTAAATGAGAAGGCTGCTGTGGTTGAAGACAATCAGAAGGAAAAGGATGCCGTTTTATCAATAAATGAAAGATTCCTTAATGCCAAGGATAAAGCTCAAAATATGCTGAAAAATGCTGAACATATTATGGACATTTTGAATAGTTTCAATGAAATGCACAAAGGACAATTAGAGCATCAAAAGATGCTTTGGGATAAACTGACAATCTATTCTGATTTTTTGGGTACAAAAAGCGAATTATCATCTAAGCTTGAAAAGTTAAATGAAATTGAAAAGCACATTAAAACGGACGAAATGAAACTTAATGAAATTAAGTCCTTTGTCGATACAAATTCAACAATTTTACCTCATCAAATTACATCAAACCTTAGCTGTGATGTTAATAAGATGTTTGTTGAGTATGATAAGTTTAAAAATGCATTGGAAAAAATCAAAAAAGATATTGACGATAGATTGAGCTTGTGGCGTCAATACCAAGAAGGATGTGATAAGTTAACACAGCTTCTTGAAGAAACTGAAAACGTTCTTAAAAACTTTGGCCTAAAGGCTTCATATGAAGAAAAGTGTGAGTCATTGAAGAATTATCAAAGCGTTTTTGCTAACTTGAAAGAACATGAAAATGAATTTGATACTCTATCTGACAAAGCATCTGAACTAATTCAATCATGTGGAGAATCCAAAACTATAATCTTTGTTCAGCAAATAAAATCACGATATCTTTCGGATGAAAATGCTGCTAAAGAGGTATTGAAAAAATGTGAACAAATGGTCAATGATCATAAAATATATAAGGATAGATACAGTCAATGCTTTGACGAATACTCTAAGGCAAAGAATATCCTAGGTAACCTTGAGGATGTAAATACAGTTTCTGATAGAACCGAACTTCAAAATTATGCAGATAAAATAAATTCTTTAGCAGACAACACAATGATAAATCAATTATTAAATTCAGTTGTCGAGCTTGCAGAAAATCTTTATGCTACAACAGATTCAACTGGACGTGAAATGATACGTTTGGAAGTACAAGAATTGCAACAAAAAATTGAAGATCTTTATGATAAAATTATAAATTTGAAAACAAAATTAGAATTTAAGCTATCGAATATTACTGGTGTTGAAAGTCTTATTGAAAAGTTGCAATTATGGCTGAACGAGATTGAGCCAGACATTTCTGGTAATATATCATATAAAGCCACACTTGATGAAAAAACACAACAACAACAGAAATATGAAAGTTTGCTGAACGATATTAACAGCCATCAAAAAGAAATTAGCATATTGAAAAATTTGACTAGTAATTCGGAAACAGATGGAGCTATTAAGCAGAAATCAGTAAAAATTGTTGAGCAATATGATAAATATCTAAATAATGCAAAACAATATTCTGAACAGTATGAAGGGATTGTGCATGATCATCAGCAATATTCAATTGCTGTAATGGAAGCGCAGAATTTCACACAAGCAACTCAAAATACAGCTGAATTATGGGGAGACATTGATTTAGACAAAGCTTCTTTAGTTTCCAATTTGGAACGACTAAAGGCATTAGACGTTTCATTGCCCGATGAATATCATCGCGTTGAATCAGTTTGCGAGTTTGGTAAAAAAGTTATACCAAATACAATTGAGGAAAGTCAAATCAATATTCAACAACAAATTGATACGTCTAAGCAAGAATGGGAACATCTTAATGGAACAACCAAAGCAATTATTGATAGTATCAATAATAAACTAGATCAGTGGAATGACTTTGAGTCTCTTAGAGATTCCTGCATGGATTGGGTTCGAAATGTTGAAAGTAATTTGCATTCAATCGATCTTAAGTCAACATTGATTGAGAAGAAGAATCAACATGACAAACTAAAAGATTTGCAAGGAGAAATCAGAGCAAAAGAATTAGAAATTGATAATGTCACTGAAAAATCACAAATTTTATTACGTTCACTAATCAATTCAAGTTGTAAAAATTCTGTTAATGAACTTGTTCAAAAATATCAACAACTGTCAAATAAAATTAAGGACTTGACAGCTAGATGGCAACAATATTACCTAATTCATCAGGAATTCGATAGACAAGTATCTGATTATGAAGGATGGATTAGCGATTTGAGGTCTAAAATTAATTACTGCTCCGATCTATCAGGAAATTCACAGAAAGAAATGGAAAATAAATTGATGACAATTCAGGAATTGATTCTGCTTAAAGAAGATGGTTCAAATAAATTACAAGAAATAGTTGAGGCGGCACAAAATGTTTTAGTCAACACATCAGCTCCTGGACATGAACCCATTAATAATACCGTTGCTAAATTGCATGATGAATGGTCACAATGTACAATGAAAATGATTGATATTCGTTCATCACTCGATGACTCAATTAGTCAGTGGTCGGGGTTGTCAGATGAAATTCAAAACATTAGAAAATCAACTGAAGCTATTGAAGCATTGTTAGATGATTTAACAGAGTTCCAAACAACAATGCCTGAAAAACGCACTCAATTGGAATTAATACGAAATGTAGAAGAACGTGTACGCGTTGAAAAAATTGAAGTTGACAACTTAAAAGCTAAAACATTAGAAATCATAACAAAAGGAAAATCAACACCGGCTGCTCAATTGGCACAAGAAGTTCTTCAAAACTTTGATAAAGTGTTTGAGAGAGTTAAGAAATTACTCTATGAAAGAGAAGAACAATTTAGAGATCACAGAGTGTACAAGGAGGCATATGACAATTTGTCAAATTACATTAATAGAGCGAGAGAAAAAATTCCAATGATCCAGCAAACTTCTCTTAATGATAAAATGTCCATTGAACAGTCTGTTGCTCCTTTAGAATCACTTTTGAATAAACAAGCTCAAGGTGAATTGCTACTCGAACATTTGCAAAGTACATCTGAGGTGGTTCTTGCTAGTACCTCACAAAATGGACAAGAAATCATCAAGAATGATATTAAGGAATTAAAACAAAGTTTTGAAGATTTGTTTAAGGAAATTCGTTTAGAGAAGGAGAAATTAGAGAACACTATGGTTCGTTGGAGAGATTATAAAGATGAGCTTGAAAAACTATCGGAATGGATCACCCAAACAGATATTTTGGTTAAAAATCATAAACTTGCCCTTCATCCGACACTGCAAGACAAGCAAAAACAAGTTATTGACATGAAAGATATTCTTAACAAAATCGAAAAGCAACAGGAAGAAATTGACAAATTTAATGTTTTTGCTTCACCTCTTTTAAAATCACACCTTGATTCAAGTGTAGGAAGTCAATTACGACAAATTAACTCAAGATATCAAGTTTTATCAAATATTGCAAAAGATGTCATGAAAAAGGTTGAAGTAAATTGCAATCAACATCGTGAATTCGAAGATTATTATAAGAGGGCATCAAACTGGCTTGCTCAAGCTAAAGAAGTTATTCAATCATGTTCTGAAGGAAACATGACAAGCAAGGATGCATTAATGTCAAAACTAAGCCACATTCAAAATCTTATTGACAGACGTGAAGAAGGTCAGAATCTTGTTCAAAATACAGTAAACAACGGAGAAAAAACATTGAAAAATACGAAGTCAGACGGAAAAGAAATAATTAATACTCAAATTAAACAAATTCAATCAGATTGGGATCGCTTGGCCAAGAAAATGACGAGTGCAAAAGTCAATCTTGAGACACAATTACTACAATGGGCAGATTATTCTTCAAGTTATAATCATTTACAGCAATGGATTAATGATCGTGAGGCAAAACTTCAACAGGTAACTGAACCCAAAGCAGCAAAAAGTAGAAAAGTTCAACCTGCGCTTGTTGAAAGAAAGGCAAATCTTAGACAAACGAACGATATTGTTCAGGATATTGTTTCTTTTGAACCAATGATTCAATCAGTTACATCAAAGGCATCTGGATTACAACAAGGAGCTCCTGTAACTGAAATCAGTTCAAAATATGAAACACTTTCAAAACATGCAAAAGAATTGTTTGCTAAACAGAAAGACACTGTAGAAAAAATGCAAGCATTTTTAGATGCTGGCAACGAATTTGCGCAATGGATACGAAATGCAAAAGAAGAAATCAATAAATGTTCTGAAACTTCTGGCGACAAGGAAACATTAATTTCGAAATTGACTCAATTAAAAGCATTAGAAAATGATATTCCAAATGGACAAGACAAGCTTCAAAGAGCTCTAGAGCAAGCCAACATTGCGATTCGAGGTGCTTCCAAAGAAGATCGTGACCAAATTGAAGAAGAAGTTGGCCTAATGCAAGGGGAATTCGATAATTATGTCGATGTTGCAAAGCTTTCAAAGAAAAAACTCGAATTAGGAATAACAAAATGGACGGAATTCGATAAAAAACAAGTAGAAGCTTTCAAGTGGCTTAACGAAAAAGAAGGAGTTGTACAATCATTCAATAAGTTGCAGTCTAATTTGGAAGATAAAAGGATTGCTCTCGAGAAATTTCAATCTTTATTGCAAACTCTTTTTGACTGGCAACGTGATCTTGATGATTTGAATATTGCAGCACAAACCTTACTCGATATTTGTGCTGATACTAGAATAAGCAATACTATTACTCAGCTTACAACTAAATACAATACTATCTTATCAATGTCTAAAGAAATAATGAAACGATTAGAAATTCAATATCAAGAACATCAACAACATAATGCCTTAATGCAAGAATTGTGTGATGATTGGCTTGATAGAGTCAGAGAAAAGCTTAATCAATGCAAGGATATTCCATATAAAATCAATGAACTGCAAGCTAAACTTAACATCGTTAAAGGCATAAAACAGTCTCTTGAACAAGGTCAAAATAAATTGCGCTATGCATTAGAATTAAAAGAAAAGGTAATTGTTAGCACTGAATCAAATGGCGTGGCTAAAATTGAGGAAGATGCAGAGAATTTAAAGCAAGATTTTGACTCGCTTATGAACGATGTCAACGATGTACGACAAAAAATTACATCTCGTCTGAATCTGCTAGAAGAAATTAGCAAACAGTATAAAATCTTAAAAGAATGGTTGGATGAAGCACGATTACAGCTTCCATCGGACGACAAAGTTTATAATGAAATGAGTGATAAGAAAGCAGCTCTTGAAAAATTAAAAAATTTGCAACGTGAAGCTCAAAATTACAGTGAAATTTGCGATAAGATAAGAATAAAGTTTACGCAAGAAAATATTGATTCATCAGAATTTGATGAAGGGTTGAAAGGATTTTCTGAACTCCAAAATGTTTTAGAAAAGAAGATTGAAAATCTGGAAAATCAATTAAGCGATCATGAGAAATACAAGCAATCTTATATTGAATCTTACAACTGGATGAAATCTGCAAAAAAAGATATTGAAGAGCACTCTGATCCTCATGGCGAGAAAGATTTGACATTGAATAAATTGGAAAGCATAAGAAGAATTGAGCAATCAATGCCAGAAGGAAAAGTGTTAATTAGTAACACCATTGAAGTAAGTAATCAGTTGTTGCCAAATTGTGACAATGAAGGACAAGACAGAATCAAACAAGAATTAAGACAAATGGAAATTGACTGGAATGAATTGGAGATTCTCTCAAAGACAACAACAGAAAATTTGGAAGATTGTATTAACATTTGGAATAATTTTGCAAATAAGTCGTCTGAAATTCAAACAGTTTTGAATCGTTTCAAAAATCAAATGACAGCTTTTGATAATTTACTGGAAATACCATCGGATGATGTAGTTGAAAACGCTAAGGTAATTAATTTCAATATGCACGTGTGAAAGAATTAAAATTTATATTTGTGACTAACAAAATATTTCACTCTACATTTATTTAATATAGAGCTTATCTAATGAAATCGAAAGTTACAAAGATGTTATGGAAGAACTCAATGAAATTTGTGAAATTTTGATGGAAAAGAGTGCCTGCTCTGGCGTTCGAGACCAAACAAATAGCCTTAATGATAAATATAACTCATTGCTTTCACAAATTCAAGGTAAATTTTATAAGTGTTGAATAATTTAAAATTTAAATTTGATGATTTTTGTCAATGAATTTAATTATCTTTTTACTAATAAGAAAATTGTTGCATATGTAAATCTTCTTCATTTTTTTCCACACACATGATGAATTGTAAATTTAACAATTTTTATTTTCTTCCAAAAATTTCCAGGTATTTTATTAATAATCAATAAAAATATTGTCGACCAAAACGAATATGCAACATATAAGAGTGAAGCTGATAAGTGGTTAGATAATGCAAATAAAACTATAGATAAATGTAATAATATTAAAAATCTTGACGATATAAACTCAAATCTTAACGAAATCAATGTAAGTATCATAAAATTTTTGACAGACTATTTAGATATCCAAAAATAAGTTATTTTTATAATTTTTTTAAAAAAATAATTAATTATTTACAGATTTTATTAAATCGAGTAACTGAGGGTGAAAAGATCATAAATCTCATGCAAGAAGCTTTCACACGTTCTTCAAATTATTTACCTAAAAATAGACAAGATGAAATCATGAATGAAATAACATCTATTCGTGGTGAATGGGATAATATTGTAGTTAAAATTGGTGCATGTTCGAACAATCTTAAAGCCATTACAAATCGTTGGAATACACTTATTGAAAATAAAAACCGTTTGAATAATTGGTTACAAGAAAAAGAGGCAATTTTGCAATCTATCCCAAAAGGTAATGGTGAAATAAGTGAAATTAAAACTTTATTGGAGCGATTAAAATATTTAGAATCAGAAATAGCTCAAAAGAAGAATGAAGTTGATGATATAGGTGATGAAATGAAATATTTCGAAGCATTAAGAGCACCAGAAGAGGATAAAGAAAAACTTAAAGCCATCGTTCAGAGATTTGAGACTCTCAAACAAAATTGTACTGAACGTATTACAGAATTTGACATGGATATTAACGATCATAATGCATATCAATATCAATTGCAAGAAATCGAAAAATGGTTGCTTCAAATTTCATTTCAACTTATGGCTCACAATTCTCTTTATATTTCAAATTATGATCAAACAAAAGAGCAAATTGCTCAACATGAGACTTTATTGGATTACATTCAAAAATATCAAGCAAATATTGATGACCTTGATGCGAAAGGACAGCAACAAATCAAACGATATGAACCGTTTTCCAGTTCAATTCGTGAACGTATCGAAAGTCAAATTAAGAATATTCAAGACAGTTATAATTCATTACTCCATACATCGATTCAAATTAAAAATCGCCTGTATGATTCATTAAACAAATTCAAGGAATATGAGGAGACTCTTGACAGTATAATGCAAAACCTTGATGGATTCGAAAAAGTTATAGATCTTGAAATGGAGAAACCAATCAATACGTTAAATAATGCAAAGATGCAATTACAGTTGATGCAGAGTTTACAAGATAAATTACAACAAGAAAAGCAAAGATTGATGTTGGCAGTGCAAGCTTGTGAGGCAGCTACAGCTAGCATTAGTCGTCCAAGTTCTCCAGTTTTTAATCAAAGTCCTGCTATTCCTGAAAAAGAGTTATTAGTAAGAGCAAAACTAGACGATTTGATAGATAAACTTTTACCATGCATTGATGTGTTGATAGAAAAAGTCAAAGGATTCGATGAAATTCTAACTAAGCGTGATGATATTAATGAATGGATAGAGCAACAGACAATTTTTGCAAATGACGTAGCATCCAAACCTTCTAAACTCCGTCCTGAATCTGCAGCACAAGACATTCAATCTATCAGCGATGTACTTGGTGGAATCAATGAGAAGCGAAATATCATGACAGAATTGGCTAATCAATTGCCTGATGAAGAAGTTTCAGATTTGGAAAAACGCCTTGATGATTTGGAAACCATTTTGATGAATCAAATAGAACGCAAGCGTAATAATCAACAATTTATAGATGACTATTTGAATTCTGTGAATGATGGTAAGAAATTCTTCGATGGACTCATTCAACGCTTAGAAGTAATTGATGGCCCCTGTGGAATGAATTGTGAACAAAAACTAAATGAATTAAATAACATCAAAAATGAAAATGAAACAAAAACACCAGAATTAAAAGAAAAGATGCAGGAAAAAGCAACAAAAGTTTTTGAAGTTATTAGTAACCTCGATGCACAACAAGTAGATGATCATTCGAAAGCATTTCAACGACGTGAAAATGACATCAAGAAAAGAATTGAAAGAAAAATTCAACTCTTGGATATGACAAATAAAAACCTTGATAAATTAAAAGCAGAAATTGATCAAACAAAGTTCTTCTTTGACGATAATATTGAGAAATTGTCAACACCGTTTGTTTTGGGCTATCTTGTTAAGCCAATTGAAGGATACATACAATATCTTAAGAATCTTTCTAAGGATATCGAAAATAAGCAAGCATTTATTGATACCTTGAATAAGAGAATTACAAATATGCACACAGAGTTGGACGGAAGTGAACAACAGAAAATGAAGCAGTGTGTGATGGATTTGCATATGAAGGAAAAGAAACTTAATGAACTTGTAAAATACGAAAATGCTCGAGCACTGCAAGGTTTAAGTAATGCAAAGAATATTGAAAATAAGTTCGACATCATCCGCAATTGGACAAATGATCAGAAAGCACAAAATGAATTAAAACCTTTGATCATTTCATTTGCACCATCTGCTATCGACTATGAAGTTCAGGAACATCGCAATCGTTTACAAAACATCAAAGATTTCTCTGATGGTATTTTAAATGATACCATTGAGCAAGTGTCTTCTATAAAAGAGCAATGTGGTGACACTGGCAAAATTGATTTGCAAAAAATTGTAGATACATTTTTAGATGATATTCAAACATTAACATTAACATGTAATCAACAATTGCAGAATATTGAAAAAATATTACAAAAGAAAAAGGAATATGAACAAGATTCAGATGGACTTTTGAACTGGATAAAAGAAATTAATCATATATTATCAACAAACGTGAAGACTTCTAGTATACAAATTTTAGAAGAACAAAAACACAAATATGAAGGATTATTGAAAGAATGTGAGAGTAAGGAATACTTACTTAAAGCCATTCAAGATAAAGCTGATTCACTCATGGAAAATCTATCAGAAGTTGATCGTCTTAATCTAACATGTCAAGTTAAAAATTTGACTGATAAGTTAAATTTGCTGATTCTTAAGTTGAAAGAGCGTTATAATGGCATTGTTGATAATATTAAGCAATTAAAGGAATCACAAAAACAAATTGCTGAATATACACAGTTTATTCTGTCAATCCAACAATCGATAAAAGAGTTGAATAAACCCATTGGCAGCAAAACAGAAGATGTTGTTAATTTGTTAAAAGACTATGAAAATATTTTGAATCGATTAAAAGCTAAAAAAGCAGAAATGAGCATGCAGAAAATTAGCTCACTGCCACAAATAAAAGAGCTGCTGTCTACACATGATGATATCATAGAAGCTATTGAAAATCAACTTCGACGTTTGAAGCAGTTGTTAATGCTACGTGAACAATTTATTGCCTTAGTTAATGAAATTGTCAATTTTAATGTGAAATACACAGATATTGTTGCACATATTGAAAAGTCTGATGACAAAATTGAAAACAAAATTAAACAATATGATAAAATAATGCATAAAATCCATGAGTGTGAAGGACTTTTGTTATCTGCAAACGACAAAGGCATGCAAATTGCTTCAGAAGGAACAGTCGAAGATAGAAATAACATTATCGAACAGTTACAGGCTCTTAAAAACCATCTTCAAACATTGAAGCAAACAGTAGAAAATCTTCGTCAACAACATGAAAAAGCAGCAAATCTTTATAAAAACTTTGAAAGCGATTTAAATAAAACAATAAATGTTCTTCACGAAAAGGAAGTAGCTGTTAAAATTTTGCCTGTTTTGGATATTGACACCGAAACCGTAGAGCAAGAAATAAGGAAACATGAAACATTAGCAGCTGACATTAAAAAAATGCTTGTAAAATTGCAAACAATATTAGATGGAATCGACAATGAACGAACACTTCCTCCTTCATTAGTTGATACAGTGTCTATAGGAAAATCATTATTAAAAAGCTTACCAGAAGCTATTAACGATCGCAAAAATTATCTTGAAAGCAACAAGGACTATCGTTTGAAATACACACAAAATGTTGGTGACTTTAACAATTGGATCAATTCAGTAGAAAGTGACTTCATGTATGAAAATGATGATATCGATCTTGAAAATATTTCATCGATGATAGATAAACATGTATCATTTGTTGATAATAAATTGCCAGAAATAAAACTTTTGTTGGAAAAAATCAATGATTGTGCTAAACATATAATGCCATCGTTAAATAATATCAGTAAAGAAGAACTTTTACGCGATTTGCAAAAATATATATCAACTTTCAAGGACAGTGCAGCACGCGCCGAAAAATCTAAGCAAAATCTTCAAAACAGTAATGATTTATGGAGAGAATACTGTACATTGTTGCAATCAGTTGATAATATTTTGACTAAAGTTCCAAAAGAGTCATCAATTAATTCAATCAGTAAACTTCAGGACTTTTTGCAGAAGCTCAATGACAAGTTAAGAGCAATTCAGGTGAGTTCGTTTTCTTAAAAAAAATTATGACCGTGACATTAGTAATAAAAGGCATAAAAACATAAAAAAAATATTTCTCATGGTTAAGCAAATTATATCTCACTTTTACAATATTATTTTTTGGTTTTCATATTTTTATCAAACACAGAACTCAAATGATATGCGCTTGTTATTTAATACAATCATAGATAACTTTAACAAAAAAGAGTAGACAACAAATTACTACCACATGCCAATAGATTATCATAATGATGGCGCGAATACTGTAAATGCTTTTTTTTATTTTTAGATAATTTAAAGAAAAACATACAATAGACATTTGAGAAAAAGAAACGAAAAGTGAAAAAAAAAATCATTCATGACTTTACTGATACGCTATTCATTCATCTTTTAAGTACGATCTGATTGAGTAAAACTTTTTTTTTTCATTAACCTTCTCCCATGAAAGATTAACTACTCTTTTTTGAATATTTACATTTGAATTGCGTAATGTCTCTATTCTCTCACTGTATACAAACATAAAAATTGAGATTGTATTAATGTTTATATTTCCCTTCCAATAGTTCTCAATAAAATCGAGAGTGGATGATGTCATACTTAATATTGCAATTGACACACTAACATATTTGATGAATTATAGATTTCTGGCCTTGCTAATTAAAAAAGCAAACCTAATACATTGATCACATCTATTAAACCGGCCATAATTCCAAGTGATAATGAATTTGTTGTATATATTTTTTTTGTATACTTACATGTAGAGTGACATCATCTTTATGATCACTATTTAAGACTTTAGGTTATATTTTGATGATAATCTTTTAAATGTTGAATGGAATATACCAGAGATGGGCAACTTATTTTTATGTCACGTTGGTAGTAAGCCATGACCCAAATCACACACTACATACGATTCATGATATTTCTTGATTTTTTGTGACACACTAGTGTGCCGCAGCACATGGGTTGACAATCACTGGAATATACTCAAAAGATTTTTATTTTTTTAAGCTTGTGGTAGGAAATTTAAGGAGAAAAAGAAGACTTGAGTATTATTGAAACACACATGTGTGCTGAATATTTTACTTAGCAAGTGAGCGAAACTTTTTATCGTCTCCGGTACAATATAAATACTTTAGGATGACCTATGATTATGATTTGACAAATATATATCAAGTGCCTTTGATAGATACCAAAATTAGTGTGGCTGCAAAATAATTTGAGTCGCTTAGCAGATAAAATAATAAATATTAAATAATTTCATGAATCATTATGATTAAGTAAATTGTTTTAGTTCGAAGACATTAATAGATTGACAACTTAATGTAAAAACGATTCACTTCGTTTGCGATCGTAGAATACGTTTATATTTTTTTCCTATTCATTTCTTTATACTCATAGCATAAGCACACAAGGCTGCTGCCGGTGTATTTTAATTCTCAAATATTTTTAACGCGATGATGGCATAAAAAAGCGTATTCGTAGTGTTTTTAACAAATATAAAATACAAAAAATTGAAAGGAAAGAAAAAAAATAAGATTTTAGAGAATATAATTTGCATTTCCATTTAGTATAAGGCGAGAGTTCGACAAAGGCTAATCGGAAAGGAAAAGTCTCTGATCATAATATCAATTTAATTAATAATAATAATTCTATTATCATAAAATTTTGGAGATTTTAAAGAAGGGTCACAATAATAAATAGATTTGACGTAAAACTTGATAAAATTCCATTGAATTGATAAGCTATATCAAAACAAAACAAAATTTTATAAGTTTACGGCACTTCTCGTAAAGTCAATTGTAATTTAAACCATAACAATATTTTTCCTTCGTTATTTGTTTTGCAGGCCCAGCAAGAGCAAATCGATAAGTTAAATCAACTTTTTGAGAAATTATTGCATATCGCCGATCAGTCAAACCGTGAGAAGATTCAACGTCAGAATACCGATATCAACTTAAAGTGGACTAATACGATAAATTCAATTGATAATCAAATTGAAACACTGTCGCAAATTGCACAGAACTGGTTAGATTTGGAACGAGATATTGCAGCTGTTGAAAAGAGTTTATTAAATATTACTGAAAAAGTAAAAGAAATTGATTTTGGTCAAAAGTCACAATCACAACTTGAGGAAGTCAAAAACAACATTTTAGTAAGTATACCTGCTTATGTCAATGAGAATTGACATTTCGATGACTTGCTTCATCTACATTCACAAAGAAATAATAACATCAAAAAAACTTCTGATGATGTGATCTTCATGAATATTCTTCTTATTTTTTTTTTACCACATTTTCATTGCATTATTCAAGACCAAATATTTATTAAACACTTTATTTTTCTTTTCCATCTCGAATAGCAATACATTGACGATACTAAAATTCTTGAGAAGCACAAACAAAATTTAAAGAAGCTTGCTAAACCTGTTCTTGAATTTTTAAAAGAAGAACAACCCGAGGTGGTTGATCCTATTAAGAATAAGCTTGAAACGATAAGCGAGCAAATATTTAGGTAGGTTTAAAAAAAAAGATCTTGCCCTTAGCCTATATAAAAATTTGCCAGATATTTATACAAGATTTTGAAAAAAAATGAATCACATGTGGTCACAATACAATTCTGTGGCACTGTGGATATATATATTTTTTTATGATTTAGAAAGCGAAATTCGTCTGAAAATAAATAGAATTTGTGTTTCTAACTTTTACTCTTTATATTTCAATTGGCCAACCGCCAATTATGTTATTTCGCATTTTAAATGAATTTTCTTCTTCTGAACAAAGTCTTCTAAAAATATTTTCAATGGGTAAAATGGCAGGCAAGATATCAAAAACTTCTTCTTGCTTTTATACACTTTCATTATCACACTCCCGTTTATTTATTTTTCTTTTTTTACTTAACTTTTATTTACGTTGCATGCATCATCATTAGTCTCTCAAACACACTAAACGGCAAGTACATTCAGGTGAAAAAGATTTTGGAATTATTAAAGGATTTGTCACAGAATTGTGCGCAAATCGATACTGAGTTGCAAAAAATTGAACATCAGTTAGCGGAATTAGATCCATATGCAAAAGATATCGATCAAAACCAACATATAGTTGAACAAATTCACAATAAGCTTTCTAATTATCGTAACGAAATAAAGAAAATTGCAAATTCATTGGACGAATTCGAAGAATATATATCACCAGAGATAATAAAACACTTAAAAGATTTAGAATTAAAGGTTGAAGGATTATTAGATAAAATGGAAGAATATAACCGCGCTTTCAAAATGGCTAAAACGATAAGGAGCGAATATCTGTATAACATTGAAAAAGTACACGGCTGGATTATGGATACTGAGCAAAAATTAAACAGTCATTACACGGAACCATTGGAATACAAAGTTTCGATACACAATAGCTGCCAAGAAAGACCTTCTGTTACTGAATGGTACGACACTGCAAATAAAAATGGACAGAGTATAATTGAATTGACACAAGATGAGAGCGAAGCATTTAATATCCGACAGCATCTTGACTTTATCCGTGAAAGACTTGGACAAATTTTTACTTTATTAGACGATCAAAAAACAATTATCGATAACGTAGTTGATGCATGGTCGAAATTTATGGAACTCTATCAAATCATCATTAATTGGGCTACCGAGAAAAAGATTTTTGTAAACCAAGAATTGAAAATTAATAATCAACAAGAAGCACAAACAAAACTTTCTGAATATACGGTATGCATATAAATGTCAAAACTTTATTATTTAAAAATTTTCGTTGCTTTACGATTTTATTCACATTTTTAATTTCACTTTAATCTTTCTACAAACAAATTTTCTTTAAACATTCTCGTTTATTGAATTTCTGTTGAACAATGGAATAATACCTATAAATAGACGTCATTGACCAGCATCAAATCAATCACACAAAACTTAAGCGATATGAATAAATTTTTGGACGATATTTCGGAATATAAGATTGTCGATAGATTGAAGGAAAAGCTACACGAATCGGAAAACTTAAAACTGGAAATCGAGTCAATACTTATAAAAAGGGTATTATGATTTTTTAAAAGTTGTATTTTGAATGACTGAATAATTTCATTTAATTTTGATTGATACAGAATGCCTTGCTTTTGGAATTAACGGAAGAATGGGATCAGTATGAAAAGAAGATAAAGGATGTATACAATTGGATAAAGAAATCGCGTGCAACATTTGAGTCGCCTCAATATCGTAATAGGCCGCTACGTGATCAGTTAGTGTATTTGGAAAAGACCTTGGCTGACATCACCACACAGAAAACGAAAATAACGATTTCGTATGAGAAACTTCAAGTAAAGATTTTGTTTTACATTTCCAATATTTTAAATTCTTTCTTATTCGTACAGGGGTGTGTCATGAGAAAAGAAAATATTTTTGAAATTAAATTCTTCTTCCTTTTTCTACGCTATAGGTGCATTTCCGTACTGAATTGTCATGTGAGAAAGATTTGAATGATGAATACACAGCTGTAATTCAAAATTTGGACCAACTTCATCAAGATGTTTCACGACAAATAGGTGATTTGGAGAAGGCCTTACAACAGATTGATAAATATCAACATGACATTCAAATGTTGAAACAGAAATTGGTGCAAGAAGAACAGTTGCTGAAAACTATGACACCAGAGCATGGTGATGCAACTGACACCATACAGGTAAGGATTTTGATTTATTTTTTAACACCGCACATCATTCCACCATTTTACTTATTTTTGCAAAAAAAAAATTCAAAAAATTCTAGTCTTATACAAGCAATACTCTTCTTAATTATATTTGATTTCATCAAACTATCTCTATACATTATTTTTGCGTTTTTACTTCATTTATTCTTTACACATTTATGCAATATCAATATTTTTAAAAAAAAATATTTATTTTATCAACACTTTAAGGCAATATTGTTTCACATGTACAAAAGTTATTGCTTAAAAATCAAACAATTACGCAATAATTTATTTAGATCCATCTTCTGTTTTAGACATTTCGGTTTTGCGAATTAATTGTTTATTATCGTTTATCTCATATTTGGAAAATTTTGTTGATTCGTTAAACCATTTATTTTCTTTTGCCCAAAATATACAGTGGCTGCGACTAATAATGTTTATTGAAGGTTTTTTTTTCTTAACTCGAGAATGAATTAGTCGCTTAAAATTAGAAGTGTTATTACGTTATGAAGCTTCTTTTTGAATAGTACAAAGATATCAAAAGACGTGCAAAGATTGATAAGTTTTTGGCAGATTATTAAACCCATTCATTTCAAATTGTTTTTAAGTTTTGTTTTAAATCTAACCGTGCCAAATTCACCAGACAAAAGACTGTTTACTTTTTATTATTTCTTTTATTTTACTCATTTTCATTTGTTTCATTTTTTCTCATTAATACTTATTTCACGTTGACATATATAGTAATTTCTTATGTGACTTATTAGTTCATAGCGATTGCAAATGATCTACGTGTTGAAATTCTCACACTAAGCACATGTAGTATCCTAAAACAAAATGAAATCACTTTCAATTTGTTACAGAGCACTAGTAGATATTCTCATTCGAAATATTTTTAGATAAGAAAATTTTCAAAAGATTTTCTCGACATTCCTACATATTTTTTTACTTCTTTTCTCTTTTCTAAGTGACAATTAATAAGAATCAACGAATCATTAAGAATAAGTAGATGAATGATTTGAATATAATTATTGTTCAAGCCATGCGACTTGTATAAACCTATGCAATATACATACATGCCCATACATGTATTCACGACGTTGATAAATATAAAATAACAGAAGACTTTTCTCATCTTCAAGGCTCCTCCATTATTCAATAATGTATTTTTAGATAGACATTTGAATCATTTGTAAAATGTTGTAGTATCTATTTTATGACATGATAGGACTATACAAAAATAAAACAATCCACTTCTTTATGATATAATCAAATTGGATAAATTTTTTTCACTTACTATACATCACATTCTAAACTATTTTTTTTTGGTTCATACATAAAAATCATGTAATGAGTTTAATTTATTTTCTAAAAAATTAGGAGTAAGTTATTTATTTTAAAATATAATTTTGAACGTACATTAAGCAAGATTTACATGGTTTTACAAAACATTTTATATCTTCGGGGTAATAACTTATTTTTTTCTTCTATTATATTTAATATCATCTTTATAATCCTATTCCATCCTTACCATTCTCTCATACACAAACTCATTTATCACTCAAAAAACATATATTTATATATTTTCGTATTTGTGGGTACTGTGCTGTTTCTTTTTTCTATACACTTTTGTAAATAAAAACAAAATAATTTAATTTAAAACAGTCCTCTCGAGAGAGAATCAAAAATATTCAAGAGAATATTAAAATGCGAAATGATCATATAAAAACTATAATCAAACGTGGTACACCGGACGTTGACTTTTTAAAAATTTGAATCCAATCTATTTTTTTTCTTCAATTTAAAATTAATGTAATGTTTATTTTGTTTGAATTTGAAGTAATTTTTATTTTTATTTATTATTCGAAATTTAATTAAATTTGATGTTTTTGGAAAGAAAAAAAAAGAAAAGAACATTAATAAAAATAATTCTTTATCGCAGCCACTTATCAGAAATCGATATGAACTTTTTATTTTTAAAATCCAATCATATCTACAAATTAAATTCTGTTGATGCATTTATTTTCTTTTATCGGATAAATCAAAGCTTACAAGTTATTGCGTCGATACTTATGGTGCTCAATTTCTCCCTCTCTTCTATAACCTTAATCAAACTATTTTTGGCTCTTTTTAAATGCTTTATAATTTCCTCATATTCTTCCATCAAAAAGACATTTAAAATTCATCCAAAACGTTTTTGTTGCTTTTTTAAAAATTAAACGAAAATTTCTTGCGTAATTTCAATAACAGGCTCAACGCAATATATTGGCGGCTCTTGTACACCAAATAAACTTATTGACATCTAAGTTGGTCGAATTGGACCCTCAAAACCCAGAACATTACTCGATTGTGAACATCAATCGTGACAATAATTCATCACCTATTAACTGGACCTATGCTGATGTTGTATTGGGCCGAATCCGATTTCATCAGGGAAGAACACCTGTTGGAAATGTTTGGGGCATTCAAAATACTAACAACAACATTGCTAAGCCCATCGCAGAAAGTGTCGTAGAACCTAAAATATTTTCTGAAGTGAATCATGTCAGTGAGGCACCATCTCGTGTTCCTGAAAACAATCAAAGTAAAACTGATTCAGAAAAGTCAAAACTAAAAGTTAAACGTGATCGAAAACATCATTATCAAAATAGTCAGCCCAAGAAAGAAACAAAAACATCTACATCAACTGAAGTTACCAAAAATCTAAATTCTCTTGCAACTGATGAACAAATGGTTACAGAAGAGAATAAAAAAGATGTTAGAATTATGGTTGTACCAGATTATTTGAATGCAAAAACGGCTCCTGTCACTGATGAGGCAGGCAAGACATATGCAGATATTCTTAAAGGACTACGTGCCAGAAGTGGACAAAGTGACGCATCAGTTTCATCTGAAACAACATCTCAGACATTTATTAAGTCAGAAAAGGCTACAGGAACAATTTCAAAGCTAATACCTACATCATCACAAAATATTTTTTGGCAAAAACAAGATACAATTACGGTTAAACAACCATCTAGTCACAAGCCTGTAGAAACAAAGAAAAAACACAAACGTATTTTCCCTAAACATGTCACTAAGGAACAAAGTGATGGAGCTGATTTATCAACCACAAAGAAATCTTTTGAAACTCATTCTGAAACCTCAAGCACAAGTAGTGAGGAAATTAAAGAACAGCATGAAAAACCAAAACGAAAGAATGATAAGAAGAAGAACGAACGAGACGACGAAAATAAAAACGAAAGAAAATTAGACGCAGATTTAAGCAAAAAAGTAAATATGAAACGAGTTATTTTAATCGAACATGAAGCTGTAAATAAAATTCCAGTTCAGCAAATTCATTTGTCATTACCACAAACTTATGCAGTAAAAGTTGAGACTCCCTTTGATCAAAACATTCAAGGTGTGACAGTTGAAAATTTCTCAACACAAATTGAGACGATTAAATTATTAGATTCTCCTGAACTCGGTGATGAAAATACAACCGTTGAAGGCGACTGGGAATCTGTTTCAACTGCAACACTTGATACAGTTATTGAACGCTCAATAGAGTTCCCTATAGAAAAAGAAGTAATTTTAACCCAAGAATTATTGTCTGAAAAAATTGAGCCTGAAAAACATTTAGAAAATATTCAAGAATACACAGACACATCAGAGGATGAAATCACGCTCCAAAGTAAATTGGAGATTTCATTTGTTGTCGACGAAGATGTCCCTAAAATTGAGCATGAAATATCAACAATTGCTTCCGTTACTGGAAAATGTCGTAAACATAAAGACAAATTAGTTCACGATGACAGCTTTGAAATTATTTATGATACCTCGACGATTGATGAAGCTCTTTCGCTTATAAGTAACGAAACTGTTGCCAATAATGAAAAACTTGACGAAAACATAATTGAAAAAGTCATTAAAGAACCTTCAAAGTGTTTGATCATTGAAACAGAAGCAACGACCTCTACAAATACTATGGCAGAACATGAAATAGAAAAATTAGAAATTTCAGTTGAGGAAGATGTTATCACACCTATTGAGACATCAGTTACTGAAAATACAAAATACATTCAACAAATTAAGGAGCAAAAAGAACAAGCATCAGAACAACAACATATTTTAATTGATACTAAAGCTCTATCAGAAACTACGGAAAAGAAAGAAAAAACTTTAAAGACAATCGAGACAGTTGACGAAACAGACTTTATTCAAGATTTAGAAAAAAATGACGAATGCATTTTAAGTGTTGATACTCGAGATAAAATTCGCGATATAACAAGCATAATTATTCAGAAAATCGAAAGCGCACAGGCAAGAGTTGAGGAGTTGCCCGAAGAAATTATACTTGATGACCTAAACAAAAAAGAAAGCATACAACCTTCTCCCGATCATAGTGATCGCGTTATACAAATTACAAACGCTATAATTACTAAAATAGAAGGTGCTAAAAGCATTGTAGAAGAAATCGCAGACGATTTTGACAAGAAACAATTAGATGAAATGAAATCAGGTGATGAAAGTAATGAGGTGCGACAAAAACCAACGATTGACAGCACGGGAGATCTGGAAAATACTTTTGATAAATTAACTGAGAAAACCAATTTAGAGTCAATTGAAAAAAGAAGAAATAGTTTAGAAGATGACTGGGAAGTTATAACAGAAGAGACCACTGAGCAACTTAGAGCCGAAATTAAAGATCAAGTAATTTTAGAGCCTCAAAAACTTAATGCATTAGATAATATTAACAATTTGGAGCAGGTAACTAACCAACCCTTAAATGAGCCCGAAATTGGCACATCATTAATAACCGATCAAAATCAAACTAATATGATGCACGCACTAATTAACACATTACCAATTGGAGAGGGTAGAAAAATTGAGGAAGCACCAATATTGTTAGTTTTAAAATCCAATGAAGAGAGTGTGAAAAATTTCCTGTTTGAAATCCCTAAATATAATTATCAAGATTACAATAATGCTGAAAAATATGCATCATTGTATGCTTCAATTTGTTTGCAAACTGAGGTTGAAAGGAATGTTGAAACTAATGCGAATACTGTGGAACCACACTTAAATACTCAAGTTCTTTCAATCAAAAAACAAACTTTTGATACTGCTGAACAAAAAAATTTCGATTTAAATATAACACAGAATAATGATGAAAAAATAAATTTAGAAGTGCATAGAATTAAAATAGAATCATATAAATCCGAAGATGTGAAAAAAATAGCCGAGCCAAAAATAAAAGAGAAGGAATCTGAAAACTGTGACTCAATCGAAATGACTAAACGTGATGATGAAAAAACTGAAAACAAGAATGATCAAGATGAAGAAAACTATCTACGCATACTTGTAGAAGAATCTGTTCCGTATGACTTGTTAAATTTGAAATTTGTTGAAAATATTTATCACAAATCTCACACCGATACTACAAAACAGGATGAAACTAAAATTCAAGAATTTTCTTTACTTGAATCTGCTAAAATATATAACGAAACTTGTCAAACTAAAGAACTTAATGATAACATTTATTTGAACGAATCTATTGCTTTTTATAACACATTTACACTTGGCGATGTCGAGAAAAAATATGAGGAATTTAAAAATAAAAGCTGTGAATTTGAACCGAAAGAAGAAGATAAAAGTAAAGATATTACAAATGAATGCCAAACGCTCAATGAAACAAAAGAGCATATAAAACAAATTCGTTTAGGGCAGCAAATAAATGAAATCGAAAAGTATGGTGTTGAAACAATTAATCATAAGCAAATATCACAAGACAATAATATTTCTAAAAACAAAACAAAGTCGAAAAATCAAGAAACAGAAAATTTAATGATTTCAAATTCTAAAGACAATTCTATAGGACAAACACCTGAAAACAAATTGAAGCGTGAAAAAACACAGTTCGAAAACCAAAGTGAAATGGAAAAACCAGCATTAAACATTTACGAAGATAATATTTATTGGAAAATTCCATATAATATTTTTGCTTTAGCTGAAGCTGAAAGACAATATGAAACAAATCATAGAGAAATGGGTCAAATCAAAGAGCAAGTTATCGGAGAAATCATAAGTGAGCAAGCAATAGCTCCTAATGAAAGTATATTAGAAGAATTACAACTTCAACCAGAAACAATTATTCCTTCTGATATCTCTATAGTTGGTGAAGATCAAATCAACGAACAAGGAATCGAAGAAACAGTAATTAAGCAAGCTGTGCCTCCTGTTGAAAGTATATTTGAAGAATCACAACTTCAATCAGAAACAATTATTACTTCAGATATCGCTGAAATTGGTGAAAATCAAATTAAGGAACAAGTAATCGAAGAAACAGTAACTAAGCAAGCCATGGCTCCTGCTGAAAGTATATTTGAAGAATCACAACTTCAACCAGAAACAGTTGTTTTTTCAGATATCACTGAAATTGATTTAGATCAAATCAAGGAACAAATAATCGAAGAAACAGTAATTGAGCCAATTATTGCACCTGTTGAAAGTATGTTTGAAGAATCACAACTTCAATCAGAAAAAATTATTAATTCAGACATCACTAAAATTGTTAAAGATCAAATCAACGAACAAGTAATCCAAGAAGCAGTAATTGAGCAAGTTGTTTCACCTGTTGAAAGTATATTCGAAGAATCACAACTTCAATCAGAAACAATTATTCCTTCAAATATCACTGAAATTGATGAAGATCGAATTAAGGAACAAGTAATCGAAGAAACAGTAATTGAGCAAGCTATAGCCCCTGTTGAAGGTATATTTGAAGAATCACAACTTCAATCAGAAACAATTATTACTTCAGATATCGCTGAAATTGGTGAAGATCAAATTAAGGAACAAGTAATCGAAGAAACAGTAATTGATCAACCTATAACTCCTGCTGAATGTATAGTTGAAGAATCACAACTTCAATCAGAAACAACTATTACTTCAGATATCGCTGAAATGGGTGAAAATCAAATTAAGGAACAAGTAATCGAAGAAACAGTAACTGAGCAAGCCATGGCTCCTGCTGAAAGTATATTTGAAGAATCACAACTTCAACCAGAAACAGTTGTTTTTTCAGATATCACTGAAATTGATTTAGATCAAATCAAAAAACAAATAATCGAAGAAACAGTAATTGAGCCAATTATTGCACCTGTTGAAAGTATATTTGAAGAATCACAACTTCTATCAGAAACAATTATTAATTCAGACATCACTAAAATTGTTGAAGATCAAATCAACGAACAAGTAATCGAAGAAGCAGTAATTGAGCAAGTTGTTTCACCTGTTGAAAGTATATTCGAAGAATCACAACTTCAATCAGAAACAATTATTCCTTCAAATATCACTGAAATTTGTGAAGATCAAATCAAGGAACAAGTAATCGGAGAAACAGCAATTGAGCAAGCTATAGCCCCAGTTGAAAGTATATTAAAAGAATCACAACTTCAATCAGAAACAATTATTCCTTCAGATATCACTGAAATTGTTGAAGATCAAATCAAGGAACAAGTAATCGAAGAAACAGTAATTGAGCAAGCTATAGCACAAGTTAGGTGTATATTAGAAGAATCACAACTTCAATCAGAAACAATTATTCCTTCAGATATCACTGAAATTGGTGAAAATCAAATTAAGGAACAAGTAATCGAAAAAACAGTAACTGAGCACGCCATGGCTCCTGTTGAAAGTATATTTAAAGAATCGCAACTTCAACCAGAAACAGTTGTTTCTTCAGATATCACTGAAATTGATGAAGATCAAATCAAGGAACAAGTAATCGAAGAAACAGTAATTGAGCAAGTTGTTGCACCTGTTGAAAGCATTTTCGAAGAATCACAACTTCATTCAGAAACAATTTTTCCTTCAAATATCACTGAAATTTGTGAAGATCAAATCAAGGAACAAGTAATCGAAGAAACAGTAATTAAGCAAGCTATTGCACCAGTTGAAAGTAAATTAGAAGAATCACAACTTCAATCAGAAACAGTTATTCCTTCAGATATCACTGAATTAAGAAAAGATCAAATCAAAGAACAAGTAATCGAAGAAACAGTAATTGATCAAGTTGTAGCCCCTGTTGAAAGTATATATGAAGAATTACAATTTCAACCAGAAGCAATTATTCCTTTAGCTGTCACGGAAATTAAAAAAGAGCCAATCACCCAAGAAACAATGGTTACAAGTTTAATTGGAAATCAAGAGTCTTTTGAAAATTTCTTGAATAAAGAGCAAAATGATGAAAATCCAGAACAATCATTAAATTTGGAAGTAATACCTCAGCCGACATTAATAATTGATAGTATTCAAGATATAAGTGGTGATGAAAATAATGCCAAGTCAAATGATTTTAAGGAAAAAAAGAAAAGAAAGAGAGATCGTGGAAAAGCTTTAAAAACTCAAGATGAGAAATTTACACCTATTGTTGACCCTTTGAGTGTTTTTAAAAGAGTTGTTTTAAAAACTGAAAATGTTTTACCCAAATCTTTTGCTGAAATTCTTGGCGAAAACCTTCCCGAATCCAAGGTTGAATCAAACATTCTCAAACCATCATTAGAAACAAGTAAAAAACTTTCTTCACCTCTTTCTTTTGTAAGAACTGATGAACCTATTATTCCGCCTGTAGTAAAAGAACATGAAATTGAAATAAATTTGGAAGATCAGTCAGCAATTCATGCAATTCAAAATATTATGTCGGAAATGGATAAAACAATGGAAAAAGAGTCAATTACAGAACATAAACCAATAAAAGAGAAAAAAGCAAGAAAAGAAAAATTTAATAAAAATAAAGAAAATAAAAACATCCAACTAGAAGTTGAGGGAGAGCCACATAAATCTGTGAATAAATCAATAATTGAAACAGAGACACACGAAAATATTTGGAATCAGAAAAAGACCTATGCAGAAGTTCTAACTGGAAATGATGGAAAACCAATTAAGAATGATGAAATAAATGGCGCTAAACACAAATCTTCTGTGAAAAAAGGCATTAAACCATCTGAAATAGTTAAAGAAGAATTTCCAGATCATAAAATACCTCATTTTGAAAACCTATCGGTTCAATCCACAAATGAAGTAAAATCACAATCGAGTGCAGTTCATCCTGTTAGTGTAGATCCTGATAATTCAGTCGATTTTAAGAAGGATATAGACCACATGAACAATACCACTTTTCTTGAATCTGAGGAAAAAACAACGAAAAGGCATTTAAGAAACAAACGGCCAGACAAGAAATCACGTAAAGCCATAAAAGAAATAAGTGAATATCTTGAAAAAGAACAAGAAGTTTTGACAATTGAAAAAGTAATGAAGAAAGATTCAACTGAAGAATCATCAAACTTTGAGCTCAAAACCACTATACAGCAAACGTTAAACATTAATCTAAAGGATGAGAAAGAAGTTTGTAAGATCGAAAGAAACACACAAAAACACCAACATACTGGAGATGAAGAAAAGAAAACAAAAATAAAGGATTCTGAAAAGCGAGTATCTATGAAACCAAATAGCATCAGTGAATCCAATGACGAAGAGATTAAAGTTTATGCGGTTGATCAAGATAATCCTATTGAAGTTAGTCGAAATTTTATTTCAGACAATTTAATTTCGCATAATTTTAAAAATCAATTATATTTTCCTTTTTTTAATATTCATTCTAAACAGGAAAAATCAGTCCAAAAAATTAATAATACATGTCTATTGCTAGATGAAACAGCACATATTCCCAAAACACATTTCATATCCAATAAATCTTTTGATATTGACATTGAAAACGAAACTTTAAAAGTAGGTTTTATAAATGACGACATTAAACAAACTGAATCTGACGAAAAAGAAATAGTTTTAGAGCAATCTGAAACAGTAATTGTTGACTATATAATAACAGCTGATACTGAGGCATCGAAAAGTCCGGTATCAAAAATATTTAGTAAAATTACAACTAAAATAACGTTGGAGAAACCAAATAAAAGTGTAAGAACAAAAGAAAAACTACCAACAGAGGAATATCAGGCAGATGATATTTCCAAAAAAACTAAGAACCAAAACTTAAACCCAAAACAAATAGAATCAAATCATAAAATACATCAAAAAGCAATTTCTGAAGAACCAAAGAACATAAACAGTCAAGAAATTGCTCAAATCATAATCCAACAAAATGATGAAAAAAAAGAAGAAAACGTCATTGCAGAAAAAATATTTAATAAACATCACAAAGATAAGGAAACAGCTAAAGATTGGAAAAAAAAGAAAAATCAATATGTTGCATCGAGATCGTCAGATGCTGAAAAAGAAATACCTGATAATAGTCTTACAACTTTCGCAAAATCAAATAATACTTCAAGTGTATTTGATCTTGATTTCTCTTTTGCAGAGGTATTGAAAAAACAATCGTTAAATGAATTAGACAACCTTAAGAAAGAGAATCAAGATGATCTTGTAATGCAAAAAACCAAAAACACACAAAAAGATAAGGAACAACACGATGAAAATGTTTCAAAACTTTCAAAAACAAAAACTGAACAAGACTTCTCTAGTATTGAAACAACGGATACCACTTTGCAGAAAAGAAAAATAAAAGTTCCTGAAGAAAAAAATAAAATCCAAAAAAAAAGAAATTTAAGAAAAACAAAGTCATTAGATTATGAATGCATTGCAAAAGAAAAACTAAGTGAAAAGTTCAGTGAGGAAGCTATAGTTCCTAAAGAAAATAAGTTCGCGAAAAAACAACTTGATTCAGAACCAAAAATTACTCCACATAATGCTGAAATTATTAAAAATCAAATCAAAGAACAATTAAACGAAGAAATTTTAAGAGAGGAAGAAAAAATTCCAATTAAAAGTATATTTAAAGAATCCCAATGTCAACCAGACACAATTATTCCTTCAGATATCACTGAAATTGATAAAGATCAATTCAAGGAACAAGTAATCGAAGAAACAGGAACTGAGCAAGCTAAAGCACCTGTTCAACCAGAATTAATTATTCCTTCAGATATCACTAAAACTTGTAAAGAAAAAATTAAGGAACAAGGAGTTGAAGAAACAGTAATTCAGCAAGCTATAGCACAAGTTGAAAGTATATTAGAAGAATCACAACTTCAATCAGAAACAATTATTCCGTCAAATATCACTGAAATTGGTGAAAATAAAATTAAGGAACAAGTAATCGAAGAAACAAAAATTGAGCTAACTATAGCACCTGTTGAAAGTATATTAGAAGAATCACAACTTCAATCAGAAACAATTATTCCGTCAAATATCACTGAAATTGGTGAAGATCAAATTAAACAACAAATAATCGAAGAAACAGTAACTGAGCAAGCTATAGCCCCTGTTAAAAGTATATTAGAAGAATCACAACTTCAATCAAAAACAATTAATCCTTCAGATATCACTGAAATTGATAAAGATCAAATCAACGAACAAGAAATCGAAGAAACAGTAATTGAGCAAGCTATAGCCCCTGTTGAAGGTATATCAAAAGAATCACAACTTCAATCAGAAACAATTATTCCTTCAAATATCACTGAAATTGGTGAAGATCAAATTAAGGAACAAATAATCGAAGAAACAGTAATTGAGCAAGTTATAGCCCCTGTTAAAGGTATATTAGAAGAATCACAACTTCAATCAAAAACAATTATTCCTTCAGATATCACTGAAATTGGTGAAGATCAAATCAACGAACAAGGAATCGAAGAAACAGTAATTGAGCAAGTTGTTGCACCTTTTGAAAGTATATTCGAAGAATCACATTTTCAATCAGAAACAATTATTTCTTCAGATATCACTGAAATTGATGAAGATCAAATCAAGGAACAAGTAATCGAAGAAACAGTAATTAAGCAAGCTATAACTCCTGCTGAAAGTATAGTTGAAGAATCACAACTTCAATCAGAAACAATTAATTCTTCAGATATCAGTGAAATTGATGAAGATCAAATCAACGAACAAGGAATCAAAGAAACAGTAATTGAGCAAGTTGTTGCACCTGTTGAAAGTATATTAGAAGATTCACAACTTCAACCAGAAACAGTTGTTTCTTCAGATATCACTGAAATTGATAAAGATCAAATTAAGGAACAAGTAATCGAAGAAACAGTAATTGAGCAAGCTATAGCCCCTGTTGAAGGTATATTAGAAGAATCACAACTTCAATCAAAAACAAGTATTCCTTCTGATATCACTAAAATTAGTGAAGATCAAATTAAGGAACAAATAATCGAAGAAACAGTAATTGAGCAAGCTTTAGCCCCTGTTGAAGGTATATCAAAAGAATCACAACTTCAATCAGAAACAATTATTCCTTCAAATATCACTGAAATTGGTGAAGATCAAATTAAGGAACAAATAATCGAAGAAACAGTAATTGAGCAAGTTATAGCCCCTGTTAAAGGTATATTAGAAGAATCACAACTTCAATCAAAAACAATTATTCCTTCAGATATCACTGAAATTGGTGAAGATCAAATCAACGAACAAGGAATCGAAGAAACAGTAATTGAGCAAGTTGTTGCACCTTTTGAAAGTATATTCGAAGAATCACAACTTCAATCAGAAACAATTATTTCTTCAGATATCACTGAAATTGATGAAGATCAAATTAAGGAACAAGTAATCGAAGAAACAGTAATTGAGCAAGCTATAACTCCTGCTGAAAGTATAGTTGAAGAATCACAACTTCAATCAGAAACAATTATTTCTTCAGATATCAATGAAATTGATGAAGATCAAATCAACGAACAAGGAATCGAAGAAACAGTAATTGAGCAAGTTGTTGCACCTGTTGAAAGTATATTCGAAGAATCACAACTTCAACCAGAAACAGTTGTTTCTTCAGATATCACTGAAATTGATGAAGATCAAATTAAGGAACAAGTAATCGAAGAAACAGTAATTGAGCAAGCTATAGCCCCTGTTGAAAGTATATTAGAAGAATCACAACTTCAACCAGAATCAAATATTCCTTCTGATATTACTGAAATTAGTGATGATCAAATTAAGGAACATGTAATCGAAGAAACAGTAATTGAGCAAGCTATAGCCCCTGTTGAAGGTATATTAGAAGAATCACAACTTCAATCAAAAACAATTATTCCTTCAAACATCACTGAAATTGGTGAAGATCAAATTAAGGAACAAGTAATCGAAGAAACAGTAACTGAGAAAGCTATAGCACAAGTTGGGTGTATATTAGAAGAATCACAACTTCAATTAGAAACAATTATTCCTTCAGATATCACTGAAATTGGTGAAGATCAAATTAAGGAACAAGTAATCGAAGAAACAGTAACTGAGCAAGCTATAGCACAAGTTGGGTGTATATTAGAAGAATCAAAACTTCAATCAGAAACAATTATTCCTTCAGATATCACTGAAATTGGTGAAGATCAAATTAAGGAACAAGTAATCGAAGAAACAGTAACTGAGCAAGCTATAGCCACTGTTGAAGGTATATTAGAAGAATCACAACTTCAATCAGAAACAAATATTCCTTCTGATATTACTGAAATTAGTGAAGATCAAATTAAGGAACAAGCAATCGAAGAAACAGTAATTGAGCAAGCTAAAACCACTGTTGAAGGTATATTAGAAGAATCACAACTTCAATTAGAAACAATTATTCCTTCAGATATCACTGAAATTGGTGAAGATCAAATTAAGGAACAAGTAATCGAAGAAACAGTAACTGAGCAAGCTATAGCACAAGTTGAGTGTATATTAGAAGAATCACAACTTCAATCAGAAACAATGATTCCTTCAGAAATTACTGATATTAGTGAAGATCAAATTAAGGAACAAGTAATCGAAGAAACAGTAATTGAGCAAGCTAAAACCCCTGTTGAAGATATATTAGAAGAATCACAACTTCAATCAGAAACAATTATTCCTTCAGATATCACTGAAATTGGTGAAGATCAAATTAAGGAACAAGTAATCGAAGAAACAGTAACTGAGCAAGCTATAGCACAAGTTGAGTGTATATTAGAAGAATCACAACTTCAATCAGAAACAATGATTCCTTCAGATATTACTGATATTAGTGAAGATCAAATTAAGGAACAAGTAATCGAAGAAACAGTAATTGAGCAAGCTATAACCCCTGTTGAAGGTATATTAGAAAAATCACAACTCCAATCAGAAATAATTATTCCTTCAGATATCAATGAAATTGGTGAAGATCAAATTAAGAAACAAGTAATCGAAGAAACAGTAATTGAGCAAACTATAGCACCTATTGAAAGTATATTAGAAGAATCACAACTTCAATCAGAAACAAGTATTCCTTCAGATATCACTGAAATTGATGAAGATCAAATTAAGGAACAAGTAATCGAAGAAACAGTAACTGAGCAAGTTATAGCACAAGTTCGGTGTATATTAGAAGAATCACAAATTCAATCAGAAACAAGTATTCCTTCAGATATTACTGAAATTGGTGAAGATCAAATTAAGGAACAAGTAATCATAAAAAAAGTAATTGAGAAAGCTATAGCCCCTGTTGAAGGTATATTAGAAGAATCACAACTTCAATCAGAAACAATTATTCCTTCAGATATCACTGAAATTGGTGAAGATCAAATTAAGGAACAAGTAATCGAAGAAACAGTAATTGAGCAAGCTATAACCCCTGTTAAAGATATATCAGAAGAATCACAACTCCAATCAGAAATAATTATTCCTTCAGATATCAATGAAATTGGTGAAGATCAAATTAAGAAACAAGTAATCGAAGAAACAGTAGTTGAGCAAACTATAACACCTATTGAAAGTATATTAGAAGAATCACAACATCAATCAGAAACAAATATTCCTTCAGATATCACTGAAATTGGTGAAGATCAAATTAAGGAACAAGTAATCGAAGAAACAGTAACTGAGCAAGCTATAGCACAAGTTGAGTGTATATTAGAAGAATCACAACTTCAATCAGAAACAATTATTCCTTCAGATATTACTGATATTAGTGAAGATCAAATTAAGGAACAAGTAATCGAAGAAACAGTAATTGAGCAAGCTATAACCGCTGTTGAAGATATATTGGAAGAATCACAACTTCAATCAGAAACAATTATTCCCTCAGATATCAATGAAATTAGTGAAGATCAAATTAAGAAACAAGTAATCGAAGAAACAGTAGTTGAGCAAACTATAGCACCTATTGAAAGTATATTAGAAGAATCACAACTTCAATCAGAAACAAATATTCCTTCAGATATCACTGAAATTGGTGAAGATCAAATTAAGGAACAAGTAATCGAAGAAACAGTAATTAAGCAAGCTATTGCACCAGTTGAAAGTAAATTAGAAGAATCACAACTTCAATCAGAAACAGTTATTCCTTCAGATATCACTAAAATAAGAAAAGATCAAATCAAAGAACAAGTAATCAAAGAAACAAAAACTGAGCAAGCCATGGCTCCTGTTGAAAGTATAATAAAAGAATTACAATTTCAGCCAGAAACAATTATTCATTTATCTCTCACGGAAATTAAAAAAGAGCCAATCACCCAAGAAACACTGGTTACAAGTTTAATTGGAAATCAAGAGTCTTTTGAAAATTTCTTGAATAAAGAGCAAAATGATGAAAATCTAGATCAATCATTGAATTTGGAAGTAATACCTCAGCCGACATTAATAATTGATAGTATTCAAGATATAAGTGGTGATGAATATAATGCCAAGTCAAATGATTTTAAGGAAAAAAAGAAAAGAAAGAGAGATCGTGGAAAAGCTTTAAAAACTCAAGATGAGAAATTTACACCTATTGTTGACCCTTTGAGTGTTTTTAAAAGAGTTGTTTTAAAAACTGAAAATGTTTTACCCAAATCTTTTGCTGAAATTCTTGGCGAAAACCTTCCCGAATCCAAGGTTGAATCAAACATTCTCAAACCATCATTAGAAACAAGTAAAAAACTTTCTTCACCTCTTTCTTTTGTAAGAACTGATGAACCTATTATTCCGCCTGTAGTAAAAGAACATGAAATTGAAATAAATTTGGAAGATCAGTCAGCAATTCATGCAATTCAAAATATTATGTCGGAAATGGATAAAACAATGGAAAAAGAGTCAATTACAGAACATAAACCAATAAAAGAGAAAAAAGCAAGAAAAGAAAAATTTAATAAAAATAAAGAAAATAAAAACATCCAACTAGAAGTTGAGGGAGAGCCACATAAATCTGTGAATAAATCAATAATTGAAACAGAGACACACGAAAATATTTGGAATCAGAAAAAGACCTATGCAGAAGTTCTAACTGGAAATGATGGAAAACCAATTAAGAATGATGAAATAAATGGCGCTAAACACAAATCTTCTGTGAAAAAAGGCATTAAACCATCTGAAATAGTTAAAGAAGAATTTCCAGATCCTAAAATACCTCATTTTGAAAACCTATCGGTTCAATCCACAAATGAAGTAAAATCACAATCGAGTGCAGTTCTTCCTGTTAGTGTAGATCCTGATAATTCAGTCGATTTTAAGAAGGATATAGACCACATGAACAATACCACTTTTCTTGAATCTGAGGAAAAAACAACTAAAAGGCATTTAAGAAACAAACGGCCAGACAAGAAATCACGTAAAGCCATAAAAGAAATAAGTGAATATCTTGAAAAAGAACAAGAAGTTTTAACAATTGAAAAAGTCGTGGAGAAAGATTCAACTGAAGAATCATCAAACTTAGAGCTCAATACTACTATAAAGGATGAAAAAGAAATTTGTAATATTGAAGGAGCTTCTGAAAATGTACCTGACAAAGATGATAAAGCAAAAATAGAAAAGGTAATTGCTGAAAAGATAAAGGCAGCGACTCTCTCTCCTAATACTGCAGAGACACAATGTGAACAAGAAAAAATCATTTCTTCACAAATTACTGAAATTGGTAAAGATCAAATCAAGCATCAAGTAATCAAAGAAACAGTAATTGAACAAGCCATGGCTCCTGTTGAAAGTATATTTGAAGAATTACAACTTCAACAAGAAACAGTTGTTCCTTCAGATATCACTAAAATTGGTGAAGATCAAATTAAGGAACAAGTAATCGAAGAAACAGTAATTGAACAAGCCATGGCTCCTGTTGAAAGTATATTTGAAGAATTACAACTTCAACAAGAAACAGTTATACCATTAGACATCACAGAAATTGGTGAAGATCAAATTAAGAAACAAGAAATCGAAAAAACAGTAATTGAGCAAGCTATAGCACCTGTTGAAAGTAAATTAGAAGAATCACAACATCAATCAAAAACATATATTCCTTCAGATATCACTGAAATTGGTGAAGATCAAATTAAGGAACAAGTAATCGAAGAAACAGTAATTGAGCAAGCTATAGCCACTGTTGAAGGTATATTAGAAGAATCACAACTTCAATCAGAAACAGTTATTCCTTCAGATATCACTGAAATTGGTGAAGATCAAATTAAGGAACAAGTAATCGAAGAAACAGTAATTGAGCAAGCTATAGCCCCTGTTGAAAGTATATTACAAGAATCACAAATTCAATCAGAATCAAATATTCCTTCTGATAATACTGAAATTAATGAAGATCAAATTAAGGAACAAGTAATCGAAGACACAGTAATTGAGCAAGCTATAGCCCCTTTTGAAGGTATATATAAAGAATCGCAACTTCAACAAGAAACAATTATTCCTTCTGATATCACTGAAATTGGTGAAGATCAAATTAAGGAACAAGTAATCGAAGAAACACTTATTGAGCAAGCTATAGCTCCTGTTGAAGGTATATTAGAAGAATCACAACTTCAATCAGAAACAAATATTCCTTCTGATATTACTGAAATTGGTGAAGATCAAATTAAGGAACAAGTAATCGAAGAAACAGTAATTAAGCAAGCTATAGCCCCTGTTGAAGGTAAATTAGAAGAATCACAACTTCAATCAGAAACAATTATTCCTTCTGATATTACTGAAATTAGTGAAGATCAAATTAAGGAACAAGTAATCGGAGAAACACTTATTGAGCAAGCTATAGCTCCTGTTGAAGGTATATTAGAAGAATCACAACTTCAATCAGAAACAAATATTCCTTCTGATATTACTGAAATTGGTGAAGATCAAATTAAGGAACAAGTAATCGAAGAAACAGTAATTAAGCAAGCTATAGCCCCTGTTGAAAGTATATTAGAAGAATCACAACTTCAATCAGAAACAATTATTCCTTCTGATATCACTGAAATTGGTGAAGATCAAATTAAGGAACAAGTAATCGAAGAAACAGTAACTGAGCAAACTTTAGCACCTGTTGAACGTTTATTAGAAGAATCACTACTTCAATTAGAAACAGTTATTCCTTCTGATATCACTGAAATTAGTGAAGATCAAATTAAGGAACAAGTAATCGAAGAAACAGTAACTGAGCAAGCCATGGCTCCTGTTGAAAGAATATTAGAAGAATCACAACTTCAATCAGAAACAATTATTCCTTCAGATATCACTGAAATTAGTGAAGATCAAATTAAGGAACAAGTAATCGAAGAAACAGTAACTGAGCAAGCCATGGCTCCTGTTGAAAGGATATTAGAAGAATCACAACTTCAATCAGAAACAATTATTCCTTCAGATAGAACTGAAATTGGTGAAGATCAAATTAAGGAACAAGTAATCGAAGAAACAGTAACTGAGCAAGCCATGGCTCCTGTTGAAAGGATATTAGAAGAATCACAACTTCAATCAGAAACAATTATTCCTTCAGATATCACTAAAATTGGTGAAGATCAAATTAAGGAACAAGTAATCGAAGAAACAGTAACTGAGCAAACTTTAGCACCTGTTGAACGTTTATTAGAAGAATCACAACTTCAATTAGAAACAGTTATTCCTTCTGATATCACTGAAATTAGTGAAGATCAAATTAAGGAACAAGTAATCGAAGAAACAGTAACTGAGCAAGCCATGGCTCCTGTTGAAAGTATATTAGAAGAATCACAACTTCAATCAGAAACAGTTATTCCTTCTGATATTACTGAAATTAGTGAAGATCAAATTAAGAAACAAGTAATCGAAGACACAGTAATTGAGCAAGCTATAGCCCCTGTTGAAGGTATATTAGAAGAATCACAACTTCAATCAGAAACAAATATTCCTTTTGATATTAATAAAATTGGTGAAGATCAAGTTAAGGAACAAGTAGTCGAAGACACAGTAATTGAGCAAGCTAAAACCACTGTTGAAGGTATATTAGAAGAATCACAACTTCAATTAGAAACAATTATTCCTTCAGATATCACTGAAATTGGTGAAGATCAAATTAAGGAACAAGTAATCGAAGAAACAGTAACTGAGCAAGCTATAGCCCCTGTTGAAAATATATCAGAAGAATCACAACTTCAATCAGAAACAATTATTCCTTCAGATATCACTGAAATTGGTGAAGATCAAATTAAGGAACAAGTAATCGAAGAAACAGTAATTGAGCAAGCTATAACCGCTGTTGAAGGTATATTAGAAGAATCACAACTTCAATCAGAAACAATTATTCCTTCTGATATCACTGAAATTGGTGAAGATCAAATTAAGGAACAAGTAATCGAAGAAACAGTAATTGAGCAAGCTATAGCCTCTGTTGAAGGTATGTTAGAAGAATCACAACTCCAATCAGAAACAGTTATCCCTTCAGATATCACTGAAATTGATGAAGATCAAATTAAGGAACAAGTAATCGAAGACACAGTAATTGAGCAAGCTAAAACCACTGTTGAAGGTATATTAGAAGAATCACAACTTCAATTAGAAACAATTATTCCTTCAGATATCACTGAAATTGGTGAAGATCAAATTAAGGAACAAGTAATCGAAGAAACAGTAACTGAGCAAGCTATAGCACAAGTTGGGTGTATATTAGAAGATTCACAACTTCAATCAGAAACATTTATTCCTTCAGATATCACTGAAATTGGTGAAGATCAAATTAAGGAACAAGTAATCGAAGAAACAGTAATTGAGCAAGCTATAGCCCCTGTTGAAGATATATTAGAAGAATCACAACTTCAATCAGAAACAAGTATTCCTTCAGATATCACTGAAATTGGTGAAGATCAAATTAAGGAACAAGTAATCAAAGAAACATTAACTGAGCAAGCTATAGCACCTGTTGAAGGTATATTAGAAGAATCACAACTTCAATCAGAAACAAATATTCCTTCTGATATCACTGAAATTAGTGAAGATCAAATTAAGGAACAAGTAATCGAAGAAACAGTAATTGAGCAAGCTATAGCCACTGTTGAAGGTATATTAAAAGAATCACAACTTCAATCAGAAACAATTATTCCTTCTGAAATCACTGAAATTGGTGAAGATCAAATTAAGGAACAAGTAATCGAAGAAACAGTAATTGAGCAAGCTATAGCCCCTGTTGAAGGTATAGTACAAGAATTACAACTTCAATCAGAAACAATTATTCCTTCTGATATCATTGAAATTGGTGAAGATCAAATTAAGGAACAAGTAATCGAAGAAACAGTAACTGAGCAAACTTTAGCACCTGTTGAACGTTTATTAAAAGAATCACAACTTCAATTAGAAACAGTTATTCCTTCTGATATCACTGAAATTGGTGAAGATCAAATTAAGGAACAAGTAATCGAAGAAACAGTAACTGAGCAAGCCATGGCTCCTGTTGAAAGGATATTAGAAGAATCACAACTTCAATCAGAAACAATTATTCCTTCAGATATCACTGAAATTGGTGAAGATCAAATTAAGGAACAAGTAATCGAAGAAACAGTAACTGAGCAAACTTTAGCACCTGTTGAACGTTTATTAGAAGAATCACAACTTCAATTAGAAACAGTTATTCCTTCTGATATCACTGAAATTAGTGAAGATCAAATTAAGGAACAAGTAATCGAAGAAACAGTAACTGAGCAAACTTTGGCACCTGTTGAATGTTTATTAGAAGAATCACAACTTCAATTAGAAACAGTTATTCCTTCTGATATCACTGAAATTAGTGAAGATCAAATTAAGGAACAAGTAATCGAAGAAACAGTAACTGAGCAAGCCATGGCTCCTGTTGAAAGGATATTAGAAGAATCACAACTTCAATCAGAAACAATTATTCCTTCAGATATCACTGAAATTAGTGAAGATCAAATTAAGGAACAAGTAATCGAAGAAACAGTAACTGAGCAAACTATAGCACCTGTTGAAAGTAAATTAGAAGAATCACAACTTCAATCAGAAACAATTATTCCTTCAGATATCACTGAAATTAGTGAAGATCAAATTAAGGAACAAGTAATCGAAGAAACAGTAACTGAGCAAGCCATGACTACTGTTGAAAGGATATTAGAAGAATCACAACTTCAATCAGAAACTGTTATTCCTTCAGATATCACTGAAATAAGAAAAGATCAAATCAAAGAACAAGTAATCAAAGAAACAAAAACTGAGCAAGCCATGACTCCTGTTGAAAGGATATTAGAAGAATCACAACTTCAATTAGAAACAGTTATTCCTTCTGATATCACTGAAATTAGTGAAGATCAAATTAAGGAACAAGTAATCGAAGAAACAGTAACTGAGCAAGCCATGGCTCCTGTTGAAAGGATATTAGAAGAATCACAACTTCAATCAGAAACAATTATTCCTTCAGATATCACTGAAATTAGTGAAGATCAAATTAAGGAACAAGTAATCGAAGAAACAGTAACTGAGCAAACTATAGCACCTGTTGAAAGTAAATTAGAAGAATCACAACTTCAATCAGAAACAATTATTCCTTCAGATATCACTGAAATTAGTGAAGATCAAATTAAGGAACAAGTAATCGAAGAAACAGTAACTGAGCAAGCCATGACTCCTGTTGAAAGGATATTAGAAGAATCACAACTTCAATCAGAAACAATTATTCCTTCAGATATCACTGAAATTGGTGAAGATCAAATTAAGGAACAAGTAATCGAAGAAACAGTAACTGAGCAAACTTTAGCACCTGTTGAACGTTTATTAGAAGAATCACAACTTCAATCAGAAACAGTTATTCTTTCAGATATCACTGAAATAAGAAAAGATCAAATCAAAGAACAAGTAATCAAAGAAACAAAAACTGAGCAAGCCATGGCTCCTGTTGAAAGTATAATAAAAGAACTACAATTACAGCCAGAAACAATTATTCGTTTATCTGTCACGGAAATTAAAAAAGAGCCAATCACCCAAGAAACACTGGTTACAAGTTTAATTGGAAATCAAGAGTCTTTTGAAAATTTCTTGAATAAAGAGCAAAATGATGAAAATCTAGATCAATCATTGAATTTGGAAGTAATACCTCAGCCGACATTAGTAATTGATAGTATTCAAGATATGAGTGGTGATACAGACAATGCCAAGTCGAATGATTTTAAGGAAAAAAAGAAAAGAAAGAGAGATCGTGGAAAAGCTTTAAAAACTCAAGATGAGAAATTTACACCTATTGTTGACCCTTTGAGTGTTTTTAAAAGAGTTGTTTTAAAAACTGAAAATGTTTTACCCAAATCTTTTGCTGAAATTCTTGGCGAAAACCTTCCCGAATCCAAGGTTGAATCAAACATTCTCAAACCATCATTAGAAACAAGTAAAAAACTTTCTTCACCTCTTTCTTTTGTAAGAACTGATGAACCTATTATTCCGCCTGTAGTAAAAGAACATGAAATTGAAATAAATTTGGAAGATCAGTCAGCAATTCATGCAATTCAAAATATTATGTCGGAAATGGATAAAACAATGGAAAAAGAGTCAATTACAGAACATAAACCAATAAAAGAGAAAAAAGCAAGAAAAGAAAAATTTAATAAAAATAAAGAAAATAAAAACATCCAACTAGAAGTTGAGGGAGAGCCACATAAATCTGTGAATAAATCAATAATTGAAAAAGAGACACACGAAAGTATTTGGAATCAGAAAAAGACCTATGCAGAAGTTCTAACTGGAAATGATGGAAAACCAATTAAGAATGATGAAATAAATGGCGCTAAACACAAATCTTCAGTGAAAAAAGGCATTGAATCATCTGAAATAGTTAAAGAAGAATTTCCAGATCCTAAAATACCTCATTTTGAAAACCTATCGGTTCAATCCACAAATGAAGTAAAATCACAATCGAGTGCAGTTCTTCCTGTTAGTGTAGATCCTGATAATTCAGTCGATTTTAAGAAGGATATAGACCACATGAACAATACCACTTTTCTTGAATCTGAGGAAAAAACAACTAAAAGGCATTTAAGAAACAAACGGCCAGACAAGAAATCACGTAAAGCCATTAAAGAAATAAGTAAATATCTTGAAAAAGAACAAGAAGTTTTAACAATTGAAAAAGTCGTGGAGAAAGATTCAACTGAAGAATCATCAAACTTAGAGCTCAATACTACTATAAAGGATGAGAAAAAATTTTGTAGTATTGAAGAAGCTTCTGAAAATGTACCTGACAAAGATGATGAATCAAAAATAGAAAAGGTAATTGCTGAAAAGATAAAGGCAGCGACTCTCTCTCCTAATACTGGAGAGACACAATGTGAACAAGAAAAAATCATTTCTTCAAAAATTACTGAAATTGGTAAAGATCAAATCAAGCATCAAGTAATCAAAGAAACAGTAATTGAACAAGCCATGGCTCCTGTTGAAAGTATATTTGAAGAATTACAACTTCAACAAGAAACAGTTGTTCCTTCAGATATCACTAAAATTGGTGAAGATCAAATTAAGGAACAAGTAATCGAAGAAACAGTAATTGAGCAAGCTATAGCCTCTGTTGAAGGAATTTTAGAAGAATCACAACTCCAATCAGAAACAGTTATCCCTTCAGATATCACTGAAATTGATGAAGATCAAATTAAGGAACAAGTAATCGAAGAAACAGTAATTGAGCAAGCTATAGCCCCTGTTGAAGGTATATTAGAAGAATCACAACTTCAATTAGAAACAGTTATTCCATCAGATATCACTGAAATTGGTGAAGATCAAATTAAGGAACAAGTAATCGAAGAAACAGTAATTGAGCAAACTATAGCCCCTGTTGAAGGTATATTAGAAGAATCACAACTTCAATCAGAAACAAATATTCCTTCTGATATTACTGAAATTATTGAAGATCAAATTAAGGAACAAGTAATCGAAGACACAGTAATTGAGCAAGCTAAAACCACTGTTGAATGTATATTAGAAGATTCACAACTTCAATTAGAAACAATTATTCCTTCAGATATCAATGAAGTTGGTAAAGATCAAATTAAGAAGAAACAAGAAATCGAAGAAACAGTAATTGAGCAAGCTATAGCCTCTGTTGAAGGAATTTTAGAAGAATCACAACTCCAATCAGAAACAGTTATCCCTTCAGATATCACTGAAATTGATGAAGATCAAATTAAGGAACAAGTAATCGAAGAAACAGTAATTGAGCAAGCTATAGCCCCTTCTGAAGGTATATTAGAAGAATCACAACTCCAATCAGAAACAGTTATCCCTTCAGATATCACTGAAATTGATGAAGATCAAATTAAGGAACAAGTAATCAAAGAAACAGTTATTGAGCAAGCTAAAGCACAAGTTGAAAGTAAATTAGAAGAATCACAACTTCAAGCAGAAACAGTTATTCCTTCAGATATCACTGAAATTGGTGAAGATCAAATTAAGGAACAAGTAATCGAAGAAACAGTAATTGAGCAAGCTATAGCCTCTGTTGAAGGAATTTTAGAAGAATCACAACTCCAATCAGAAACAGTTATCCCTTCAGATATCACTGAAATTGATGAAGATCAAATTAAGGAACAAGTAATCGAAGAAACAGTAATTGAGCAAGCTATAGCCCCTGTTGAAGGTATATTAGAAGAATCACAACTTCAATTAGAAACAGTTATTCCATCAGATATCACTGAAATTGGTGAAGATCAAATTAAGGAACAAGTAATCGAAGAAACAGTAATTGAGCAAACTATAGCCCCTGTTGAAGGTATATTAGAAGAATCACAACTTCAATCAGAAACAAATATTCCTTCTGATATTACTGAAATTATTGAAGATCAAATTAAGGAACAAGTAATCGAAGACACAGTAATTGAGCAAGCTAAAACCACTGTTGAATGTATATTAGAAGATTCACAACTTCAATTAGAAACAATTATTCCTTCAGATATCACTGAAATTGGTAAAGATCAAATTAAGGAACAAGTAATCGAAGAAACAGTAATTGAGCAAGCTAAAGCCCCTGTTGAAGGTATATTAGAAGAATCACAACTTCAGGCAGAAACAATTATTCCTTCTGATATCACTGAAATTGGTGAAGATCAAATTAAGGAAGAAGTAATCGAAGAAACAGTAATTGAGCAAGCTATAGCCTCTGTTGAAGGTATATTAGAAGAATCACAACTCCAATCAGAAACAGTTATCCCTTCAGATATCACTGAAATTGATGAAGATCAAATTAAAAAACAAGTTATCGAAGGAACAGTAATTGAGCAAGCTATAGCCCCTGTTGAAGGTATATTAGAAGAATCACAACTTCAATTAGAAACAGTTATTCCATCAGATATCACTGAAATTGGTGAAGATCAAATTAAGGAACAAGTAATCGAAGAAACAGTAACTGAGCAAGCTATAGCCCCTGTTGAAGGTATATTAGAAGAATCACAACTTCAATCAGAAACAAATATTCCTTCTGATATTACTGAAATTAGTGAAGATCAAATTAAGGAACAAGTAATCGAAGAAACAGTAATTGAGCAAGCTATAGCCTCTGTTGAAGGTATGTTAGAAGAATCACAACTCCAATCAGAAACAGTTATTCCTTCTGATATCACTGAAATTGGTGAAGATCAAATTAAGGAACAAGTAATCGAAGAAACAGTAATTGAGCAAGCTATAGCCTCTGTTGAAGGTATATTAGAAGAATCACAACTCCAATCAGAAACAGTTATCCCTTCAGATATCACTGAAATTGGTGAAGATCAAATTAAGGAACAAGTAATCGAAGAAACAGTAATTGAGCAAGCTATAGCCCCTGTTGAAGGTATATTAGAAGAATCACAACTTCAATTAGAAACAGTTATTCCATCAGATATCACTGAAATTGGTGAAGATCAAATTAAGGAACAAGTAATCGAAGAAACAGTAATTAAGCAAGCTATAGCCCCTGTTGAAAGTATATTACAAGAATCACAACTTCAATCAGAAACAAATATTCCTTCTGATATTACTGAAATTAGTGAAGATCAAATTAAGGAACAAGTAATCGAAGACACAGTAATTGAGCAAGCTAAAACCACTGTTAAATGTATATTAGAAGATTCACAACTTCAATTAGAAACAATTATTCCTTCAGATATCACTGAAATTGGTGAAGATCAAATTAAGGAACAAGTAATCGAAGAAACAGTAATTGAGCAAGCTATAGCCCCTGTTGAAGGTATATTAGAAGAATCACAACTTCAAGCAGAAACAATTATTCCTTCAGATATCACTGAAATTGGTAAAGATCAAATTAAGGAACAAGTAATCGAAGAAACAGTAATTGAGCAAGCTATAATTGCTGTTGAAGGTATATTAGAAGAATCACAACTTCAATCAGAAACAATTATTCCTTCTGATATCACTGAAATTGATGAAGATCAAATTAAAAAACAAGTTATCGAAAAAACAGTAATTGAGCAAGCTATAGCCTCTGTTGAAGGTGTGTTAGAAGAATCACAATTCCAATCAGAAACAGTTATCCCTTCAGATATCACTGAAATTGATGAAGATCAAATTAAGGAACAAGTAATCGAAGAAACAGTAATTGAGCAAGCTATAACCGCTGTTGAAGGTATATTAGAAGAATCACAACTTCAATCAGAATCAAATATTCCTTCTGATATTACTGAAATTAGTAAAGATCAAACTAAGGAGCAAGTAATCAAAGAAACAGTAATTGAGCAAGCTATAGCCCCTGTTGAAGGTATATTAGAAGAATCACAACTTCAATCAGAAACAAATATTCCTTCTGATATCACTGAAATTGGTGAAGATCAAATTAAGGAACAAGTAATCAAAGACACAGTAATTGAGCAAGCTATAGCCCCTGTTGAAAGTATATTACAAGAATTACAACTTCAATCAGAAACAATTATTCCTTCTGATATTACTGAAATTAGTGAAGATCAAATTAAGGAACATTTAATCAAAGAAACAGTAACTGAGCAAGCTATAGCCTCTGTTGAAGGTATATTAGAAGAATCACAACTTCAATCAGAAACAAATATTCCTTCTGATATCACTGAAATTGGTGAAGATCAAATTAAGGAACAAGTAATCGAAGAAACAGTAATTGAGCAAGCTATAGTCCCTGTTGAAGGTATATTAGAAGAGTCACAACTTCAATCAGAAACAATTATTCCTTCAGATATCACTGAAATTGGTGAAGATCAAATTGAGGAGATAGTAATCGAAGAAACAGTAATTGAGCAAGCTATAGCCTCTGTTGAAGGTATATTAGAAGAATCACAACTCCAATCAGAAACAGTTATCCCTTCAGATATCACTGAAATTGATGAAGATCAAATTAAAAAACAAGTTATCAAAGAAACAGTAATTGAGCAAGCTAAAACCACTGTTGAATGTATATTAGAAGATTCACAACTTCAATTAGAAACAATTATTTCTTCAGATATCACTGAAATTGGTGAAGATCAAATTAAGGAACAAGTAATCGAAGAAACAGTAATTGAGCAAGCTATAGCCCCTGTTGAAGGTATATTAGAAGAATCACAACTTCAAGCAGAAACAATTATTCCTTCTGATATCACTGAAATTGGTGAAGATCAAATTAAGGAACAAGTAATCGAAGAAACAGTAATTGAGCAAGCTATAGCCCCTGTTGAAGGTATATTAGAAGAATCCCAACTTCAAGCAGAAACAATTATTCCTTCTGATATCACTGAAATTGGTGAAGATCAAATTAAGGAACAAGTAATCGAAGAAACAGTAATTGAGCAAGCTATAGCCCCTGTTGAAAGTATATTACAAGAATCACAACTTCAATCAGAATCAAATATTCCTTCTGATATTACTGAAATTAGTGAAGATCAAACTAAGGAACAAGTAATCAAAGAAACAGTAATTGAGCAAGCTATAGCCCCTGTTGAAGGTATATTAGAAGAATCACAACTTCAATCAGAAACAATTATTCCTTCTGATATTACTGAAATTAGTGAAGATCAAATTAAGGAACATTTAATCAAAGAAACAGTAACTGAGCAAGCTATAGCCTCTGTTGAAGGTATATTAGAAGAATCACAACTTCAATCAGAAACAAATATTCCTTCTGATATCACTGAAATTGGTGAAGATCAAATTAAGGAACAAGTAATCGAAGAAACAGTAATTGAGCAAGCTATAGCCCCTGTTGAAGGTATATTAGAAGAATCACAACTTCAATCAGAAACAAATATTCCTTCTGATATTACTGAAATTAGTGAAGATCAAATTAAGGAACAAGTAATCGATGACACAGTAATTAAGCAAGTTAAAACCACTGTTGAATGTATATTAGAAGATTCACAACTTCAATTGGAAACAATTATTCCTTCAGATATCACTGAAATTGGTGAAGATCAAATTAAGGAACAAGTAATCGAAGAAACAGTAACTGAGCAAGCTATAGACCCTGTTGAAGGTATATTAGAAGAATCCCAACTTCAAGCAGAAACAATTATTCCTTCTGATATCACTGAAATTGGTGAAGATCAAATTAAGGAACAAGTAATCGAAGAAACAGTAATTGAGCAAGCTATAGCCCCTGTTGAAAGTATATTACAAGAATCACAACTTCAATCAGAATCAAATATTCCTTCTGATATTACTGAAATTAGTGAAGATCAAATTAAGGAACAAGTAATCGAAGAAACAGTAATTGAGCAAGCTATAGCCCCTGTTGAAAGTATATTACAAGAATCACAACTTCAATCAGAAACAATTATTCCTTCTGATATTACTGAAATTAGTGAAGATCAAATTAAGGAACATTTAATCAAAATAACAGTAACTGAGCAAGCTATAGCCTCTGTTGAAGGTATATTAGAAGAATCACAACTTCAATCAGAAACAAATGTTCCTTCTGATATTACTGAAATTAGTGAAGATCAAATTAAGGAACAAGTAATTGATGACACAGTAATTGAGCAAGCTATAGCCCCTGTTGAAGGTATATTAGAAGAATCACAACTTCAATCAGAAACAAATATTCCTTCTGATATTACTGAAATTAGTGAAGATCAAATTAAGGAACAAGTAATTGATGACACAGTAATTGAGCAAGCTAAAACCACTGTTGAATGTATATTAGAAGATTCACAACTTCAATTAGAAACAATTATTCCTTCAGATATCACTGAAATTGGTGAAGATCAAATTAAGGAACCAGTAATCGAAGACACAGTAATTGAGCAAGCTATAGCCCCTGTTGAAAGTATATTACAAGAATCACAACTTCAATCAGAAACAATTATTCCTTCTGATATTACTGAAATTAGTGAAGATCAAATTAAGGAACATTTAATCAAAGAAACAGTAACTGAGCAAGCTATAGCCTCTGTTGAAGGAATATTAGAAGAATCACAACTTCAATCAGAAACAAATATTCCTTCTGATATCACTGAAATTGGTGAAGATCAAATTAAGGAACAAGTAATCGAAGAAACAGTAATTGAGCAAGCTATAGCCCCTGTTGAAGGTATATTAGAAGAATCACAACTTCAATCAGAAACAAATATTCCTTCTGATATTACTGAAATTAGTGAAGATCAAATTAAGGAACAAGTAATCGATGACACAGTAATTGAGCAAGCTAAAACCACTGTTGAATGTATATTAGAAGATTCACAACTTCAATTGGAAACAATTATTCCTTCAGATATCACTGAAATTGGTGAAGATCAAATTAAGGAACAAGTAATCGAAGAAACAGTATTTGAGCAAGCTATAGACCCTGTTGAAGGTATATTAGAAGAATCCCAACTTCAAGCAGAAACAATTATTCCTTCTGATATCACTGAAATTGGTGAAGATCAAATTAAGGAACAAGTAATCGAAGAAACAGTATTTGAGCAAGCTATAGACCCTGTTGAAGGTATATTAGAAGAATCCCAACTTCAAGCAGAAACAATTATTCCTTCTGATATCACTGAAATTGGTGAAGATCAAATTAAGGAACAAGTAATCGAAGAAACAGTAATTGAGCAAGCTATAGACCCTGTTGAAGGTATATTAGAAGAATCCCAACTTCAAGCAGAAACAATTATTCCTTCTGATATCACTGAAATTGGTGAAGATCAAATTAAGGAACAAGTAATCGAAGAAACAGTAATTGAGCAAGCTATAGCCCCTGTTGAAAGTATATTACAAGAATCACAACTACAATCAGAATCAAATATTCCTTCTGATATTACTGAAATTAGTGAAGATCAAACTAAGGAACAAGTAATCAAAGAAACAGTAATTGAGCAAGCTATAGCCCCTGTTGAAGGTATATTAGAAGAATCACAACTTCAATCAGAAACAATTATTCCTTCTGATATTACTGAAATTAGTGAAGATCAAATTAAGGAACATTTAATCAAAGAAACAGTAACTGAGCAAGCTATAGCCTTTGTTGAAGGTATATTAGAAGAATCACAACTTCAATCAGAAACAAATGTTCCTTCTGATATTACTGAAATTAGTGAAGATCAAATTAAGGAACAAGTAATTGATGACACAGTAATTGAGCAAGCTATAGCCCCTGTTGAAGGTATATTAGAAGAATCACAACTTCAATCAGAAACAAATATTCCTTCTGATATTACTGAAATTAGTGAAGATCAAATTAAGGAACAAGTAATTGATGACACAGTAATTGAGCAAGCTAAAACCACTGTTGAATGTATATTAGAAGATTCACAACTTCAATTAGAAACAATTATTCCTTCAGATATCACTGAAATTGGTGAAGATCAAATTAAGGAACAAGTAGTCGAAGACACAGTAATTGAGCAAGCTATAGCCCCTGTTGAAAGTATATTACAAGAATCAAAACTTCAATCAGAAACAATTATTCCTTCTGATATTACTGAAATTAGTGAAGATCAAATTAAGGAACATTTAATCAAAGAAACAGTAACTGAGCAAGCTATAGCCCCTGTTGAAGGTATATTAGAAGAATCACAACTTCAATCAGAAACAAATATTCCTTCTGATATTACTGAAATTAGTGAAGATCAAATTAAGGAACAAGTAATCGATGACACAGTAATTGAGCAAGCTAAAACCACTGTTGAATGTATATTAGAAGATTCACAACTTCAATTAGAAACAATTATTCCTTCAGATATCACTGAAATTGGTGAAGATCAAATTAAGGAACAAGTAATCGAAGAAACAGTAATTGAGCAAGCTATAGCCCCTGTTGAAGGTATATTAGAAGAATCACAACTTCAAGCAGAAACAATTATTCCTTCTGATATCACTGAAATTGGTGAAGATCAAATTAAGGAACAAGTAATCGAAGAAACAGTAATTGAGCAAGCTATAGCCCCTGTTGAAAATATATCAGAAAAATCACAACTTCAATCAGAAACAATTATTCCTTCAGATATCACGGAAATTGGTGAAGATCAAATTAAGGAACAAGTAATCGAAGAAACAGTAATTGAGCAAGCTATAACCGCTGTTGAAGGTATATTAGAAGAATCACAACTTCAATCAGAAACAATTATTCCTTCTGATATCACTGAAATTGGTGAAGATCAAATTAAGGAACAAGTAATCAAAGAAACAGTAATTGAGCAAGCTATAGCCTCTGTTGAAGGTATGTTAGAAGAATCACAACTCCAATCAGAAACAGTTATCCCTTCAGATATCACTGAAATTGATGAAGATCAAATTAAGGAACAAGTAATCGAAGAAACAGTAATTGAGCAAGCTATAACCGCTGTTGAAGGTATATTAGAAGAATCACAACTTCAATCAGAAACAATTATTCCTTCTGATATCACTGAAATTGGTGAAGATCAAATTAAGGAACAAGTAATCGAAAAAACAGTAATTGAGCAAGCTATAGCCTCTGTTGAAGGTATGTTAGAAGAATCACAACTCCAATCAGAAACAGTTATCCCTTCAGATATCACTGAAAATGATGAAGATCAAATTAAGGAACAAGTAATCGAAGAAACAGTAATTGAGCAAGCTATAGCCCCTGTTGAAAGTATGTTACAAGAATCACAACTTCAATCAGAATCAAATATTCCTTCTGATATTACTGAAATTAGTGAAGATCAAACTAAGCAACAAGTAATCAAAGAAACAAAAATTGAGCAAGCTATAGCCCCTGTTGAAGGTATATTAGAAGAATCACAACTTCAATCAGAAACAAATATTCCTTCTGATATCACTAAAATTGGTGAAGATCAAATTAAGGAACAAGTAATCGAAGACACAGTAATTGAGCAAGCTATAGCCCCTGTTGAAAGTATATTACAAGAATCACAACTTCAATCAGAAACAATTATTCCTTCTGATATTACTGAAATTAGTGAAGATCAAATTAAGGAACATTTAATCAAAGGAACAGTAACTGAGCAAGCTATAGCCTCTGTTGAAGGTATATTAGAAGAATCACAACTTCAATCAGAAACAAATATTCCTTCTGATATCACTGAAATTGGTGAAGATCAAATTAAGGAACAAGTAATCGAAGAAACAGTAATTGAGCAAGCTATAGCCCCTGTTGAAGGTATATTAGAAGAATCACAACTTCAATCAGAAACAAATATTCCTTCTGATATTACTGAAATTAGTGAAGATCAAATTAAGGAACAAGTAATCGATGACACAGTAATTGAGCAAGCTAAAACCACTGTTGAATGTATATTAGAAGATTCACAACTTCAATTAGAAACAATTATTCCTTCAGATATCACTGAAATTGGTGAAGATCAAATTAAGGAACAAGTAATCGAAGAAACAGTAATTGAGCAAGCTATAGACCCTGTTGAAGGTATATTAGAAGAATCACAACTTCAAGCAGAAACAATTATTCCTTCTGATATCACTGAAATTGGTAAAGATCAAATTAAGGAACAAGTAATCGAAGAAACAGTAACTGAGCAAGCTATAGCCCCTGTTGAAAATATATCAGAAGAATCACAACTTCAATCAGAAACAATTATTCCTTCAGATATCACTGAAATTGGTGAAGATCAAATTAAGGAACAAGTAATCGAAGAAACAGTAATTGAGCAAGCTATAACCGCTGTTGAAGGTATATTAGAAGAATCACAACTTCAATCAGAAACAATTATTCCTTCTGATATCACTGAAATTGGTGAAGATCAAATTATGGAACAAGTAATCGAAGAAACAGTAATTGAGCAAGCTATAGCCTCTGTTGAAGGTATGTTAGAAAAATCACAACTCCAATCAGAAACAGTTATCCCTTCAGATATCACTGAAATTGATGAAGATCAAATTAAGGAACAAGTAATCGAAGAAACAGTAATTGAGCAAGCTATAGCCCCTGTTGAAGGTATATTAGAAGAATCACAACTTCAATCTGAAACAGTTATTTCTTCAGATATCACTGAAATTGGTGACGATTTAATTAAGGAACAAGTAATCGAAGAAACAGTAATTGAGCAAGCTATAGCCCCTGTTGAAAGTATATTACAAGAATCACAACTTCAATCAGAATCAAATATTCGTTCTGATATTACTGAAATTAGTGAAGATCAAACTAAGGAACAAGTAATCGAAGAAACAGTAATTGAGCAAGCTATAGCCCCTGTTGAAGGTATATTAGAAGAATCACAACTTCAATCAGAAACAGTTATTCCTTCAAATAATACTGAAATTGGTGAAGATCAAATTAAGGAACAAGTAATCGAAGACACAGTAATTGAGCAAGCTATAGCCCCTGTTGAAAGTATATTACAAGAATCACAACTTCAATCAGAAACAATTATTCCTTCTGATATTACTGAAATTAGTGAAGATCAAATTAAGGAACAAGTAATCAAAGAAACAGTAACTGAGCAAGCTATAGCCCCTGTTGAAGGTATATTAGAAGAATCACAACTTCAATCAGAAACAAATATTCCTTCTGATATTACTGAAATTGGTGAAGATCAAATTAAGGAACAAGTAATCGAAGAAACAGTAATTAAGCAAGCTATAGCCCCTGTTGAAAGTATATTAGAAGAATCACAACTTAAACAGGAAACAGTTATTTCTTCAGATATAACTGAAATTAGTAAATATCAAAACAAAGAACAAGCAAACGAAGAAATTTTAAGTGCACATGCTATTGTTCCTGAAAATGAAAGTGAATTTGATGATTTGATTAAAAAAACTGTGACTTTTTCTAAAGAAAAGGGTGGGAAAAAATTAAAAATGAAGAAACCAAAATCAAGCGTTTCTGAAAACATTATCAAAGATAATTTGAGTATTTTCAATCGACTTGAAAATGATCCAAGTGACTTATTTCCATTAAAATCTTACGCCGAAGTTTTGTTGGATTCAACATTCACATACACGCTGGATAATATTTCTGGTAAAGAATTAAAAGTTTCTGAAATGGTATATGAACGAGGCGTTGAATCAAAAATAAAAAATGTAATTTCTGAGAAAACGAACCTTTCTCCTAGTATTGAAGACAATCACGAATTCGATAAAATTATATCAAAACCTTTCAATGAAACCAAATTAAAAGTTGTAACTAATGAGAAATCAATCGAATTGATCAAAAAACCTACCATTGAATGTACTCAAGATATTGTTGCAAAGTTGTGTGATTCGGAAGAAGAGCCAAACAATTCTGAGAAAGTATTAGCTCTTACGCTTGATAATATTCAAGAAGCTGTTAAGTTTGATATTGAACTTCAAGATCCTGTTTCATCAACAGAAAACTATGAAAAGAAAACGAAATCATTTGATTCTCAAGGTTCTCCTGAAGATAATTTGTGTTCATTTAAGCAGGTTGATGATTCTTTCAACGAAGTATTGAGATTCAAAACGTATGCTGAAGTTTTATCAGGACAAAACTTAAAAATCAAAAAGAACGATTCGGATGATAAGAAATCGATTGTTCATTTTGTTACATCTGCTGCTGATAATTTAATTAGCAAGATTCAAGATCAAACTGTAGTTTATAATGAAGCAATCAGTGGAGAAAATAAAGAAGAAAAAGCAAACACCATTGAAATAATTAAACCTATAAGAAAACAGAGTGAAATATTCGATTCTGTTAAAACAAATAACTTTTTTAATCAGGATTTGTCTTTAAATCAAGAAACTTTAGTGAATAGAGCATATTCTGAAGTTTTGAGCGTTAAAGATTCGGAACCTGTCGATAAAACAAATTTTTATGAGAAAAAGGCAATTAGTCAATATGTTTCAAACACAGCAGATAATATGATAAGTAAAGCAGACTTACATATCGATGCTGAACCAAAGTCGTCTTCTGAAACAAAACACAAACTTAATGCGGAACCTATTTTGCAAGAAATTTTCATGTCAATTAAAAACGAAATTATAGCAGATTCCTATCCAGAAGGATCATTTAATGATGAAAAACAACCTGAAGTCATTGTCGAAATTGTTAAAGATTTTATGGACGAAATTACTAAAGATATTTTGGTAGAACGTAGTAAAACCGATCCTAAAAAATATTTACCCAATGCTATAGTTGCACAATCTGAAGCATATTCGAGCACAGATGAAGCTTTATATGTACCACAAATTACGAAAATATCTCATACATCCCTATCCATTGACATCCCTATTCCTAAAACCATTAGCAGTCCTGCAGGTCACGATAGCCAAGAAAAAGACGTGAAAAATACTTTTGATGTAAAGGTGAAATATAATTTTTGCTTTTCGTTTTCATCAAGTTTTCTTGTTTTCTATATATTAAAAAACTAAGAAAAACACATGATTCAATGCTAAAAAAAACAGAAAACAATACATTTTTCCTCATTACAAGCTGTCAGCTATCGTGTGATCTTAATCAATAATTGTATGAAAACGTGTACTTGCTTGTTTTGTAATATTCTTTGTTGATAAAATTCAAAAATTCTAATCAACATTCTCTACTATTTTATCTATAACTTAGCTTTTATTCGTGTTTAAGTTTATACTAATGTTGTTTTGTTGAATGTTATTCCTTCTAACAAGCATTTTGAATTCATACCATAAAAACCAATCAGCAAAATTTGTCATCCAAATTCTTCTACCTATGTTTATCATCACCTGAAGCTTTTTTTTAATGATATTTTAAATTATTTATTAGTTTGAATTTTAAAAACATGTAAATAACAATTTTTTTTAACATTGAATACAGATCTCACTCCAACAAGAAGCAGACAATCTCCTAAACCAAATTACAATTGTTTCATCTGATATTCATCGAATGCCGAGAGAGAATCTTGATCATATGCTGGAAACTTTGAATGTAATTTAATCAGTATAATTTCTTAAACAAAATAGTTTGATCAATATATACATAGATTTGGGGCCGTTTACTTATTACATTCGCATTTTAGAGGGGAGGGGGGTTTGAAAAATTGTAACAAAATGAGACATAGGGTGGGGGGGGGGGGGGTATCACGGGAACGTTCTAATTTCACACCAAAAACATTTTTTTAAATTTTTCATTTTTTTATTGATTTATAAAAAATTATCAAAATAATGTAAATTATGAACGTTCAGGGGGAGGGGGGGATTGTGAATTGTAACATATTGTAACAAGGGGGGAGGGGGTGAAAAAAGTCGTTTTTTGGCGTAACGTAATAAGTGAACGGCCCCTTTGCTCATAAATTTTTTTTTTATAAAACTTATTTTCAAATTTCATCCAAATATCAGTGGGAGAAGGGGGTTGCAGAGCAAAAATTGTCAATTAAAAAAACCCAAAAATGTTTACAAATACTCCACTTTGTGACTTTTTCAATTTTGTTTGGAAATTTCATCGCATTAAATATATTGGAGTTTTTCTCTTAACAATTTTTGCTTTGTTTTTTGCTTTTTTGCTTTTACTATACTTTTGACATTTAAATTAGAGAATTATGAAGATTTACAATGCTCCTGTACTATATTTGTGTAAGAGCCCATCTATATATCTTGATTTTGATTTTAGTTGCTTTGTTAGGGGCTGTTCACTTATTACGTAACGCGAAAAAATGACTTCTTAGACCCCCCCCCCCCCCTCGTAACAAAATTTGTATGAAAAAAAAAATTTCCTTGTTTGAACCGTAACAAAATCTTAGACCCCCCCCCTCCCCCTAAAAGCGTTACGTAATAAGTGAATGGCCCCTTACCAAAAACTTTATTTTATGCATATAATTTATGTTTTAATCTGTATATTCGTTCAAAAATATTTTTTTTTTATCTTCAGGTCCTGTTAAAGAAATTGGAATGCTACAAAATTGAATTAGATTCCCTAATTGACAAAAGCAAAACTTTCCCAGAGGAACTAGAACTTAAAGCTACACTTACAAATCTCAACAAGAAACTCAGTTCATTGATTTTACGAACTGAACATCAAATCAGTGTTACAAAGGTATTCAAATTATTAAGTAAATTTAGTTCAAGTTAATGAGTAAATAATTTTATTTACTAATTGGTGATATTTTAAAAAGAAGAGGAATATTTAAAAATAATTAATAATACAAATGTCTTCATATATATATATATATATATATATATATATATATATATATATATATATATATATATATATATATATATATCGAAAAGTTCCAAATGGGAAACTTCACTGGGATATTAAATTCACTTCAAATTTTTTTCGAGATACCATACTAGTTAATTAATAATTTCTGTATAAACAAATTATTTTTTAGGAAGCGAAAACAAATCATGAGAAACATCAAAATGAAGTAGAGAGATACCGAAATATTCTACTGAGCATTGAAGAATGGTTGAAGACAATTATATTATCACTTCAAAGTTTTAATTGTAAAACAACAGACAGCACAGATGCCCAAGATAAGTTATATGAACTCCAAAAGATTTTAGATCAACTAGAAAATAAAGAAAAAACGGCAAAGGAAATTTTCGTTGATTGCCAAGAATATGGAGCCCAATATGGTGATGTTCAAAAACTTGTAAGAGAACTTCTTTTTGGACTAAACGCGAATATTAGTGTTATTCGGGAAAATCAAAATATCATAAAGTCACGTCAAAATCTTTTAAAAGACCAAATTTATGATCCAACAAGTGTACAAGAAGTTGATAGTTCAAAAGAACTTGAACCATCTATCAATATAACACTAGATACTCAGAAAATTGATGAAGAAATTCCGACAAGAAAAGAAATAAATGAATTGTGTACTTCAATACAAGTTAATATTGAAGATGAAAGTTCACAACAAATTATTGACAAAACTAAACCAGAAACTCAAGCAATTGCAACTCAAACCACTCCAGATAAACCATCTACAGACAACTTTATGATAATTCAATCTATTAGCGCTGATGGAGAAACTATTCAAATTTATAATATGCCACATGATGATGGTAAGGACGATGATAAGAATGTAACAGTTGAAGCAAAATATGTCCGTGGTCATAGCGGTGAGCCTAAACGAACTTCAGAATTAGTTTTGAAAAATGTTCCAAAACATTTTGAAACAACTTTTGTTGAACCAGATGAAACTACAACTGAAATTATCGTTGATCCTGACGGTACCAAAAGAATAATAGTGCGAAAATTAACAAAGACAACACATCAAATTGTTAATCAAAACATAGTAGAAGGTGACGAATTTTCAGAACCCTTCAAAGCGCAACTAGGTTCTAGTGCAACTACTCATGACTTTATTGTAAGGAGTGGAGATTCAACAGCTTTAGAACAACATCCAGAAATTACAGAGTCTTCACTAAGTGCTGTTATTGAACACATTTCTCATAGAATTATTAAAAAGACTAGAAGAATTGTTAAGAAAATAACAATAATTGATGGAAAAGAGCACATAACAGAGGAAATCGTAGAGGAACCTGATGAAATAGAACAGTATGAAGAAGATCGTCCCGTGATCGCATATGAATTGTCCCAAACAATAGTAGAGGAACCTAGAGTAGAAAAAACTGACATAATAATTACCGAGCACTCCCAATCTCCAGAAGCCGTTGACAACATTAAATTTGAAGAAGTGACTGAAATTGCAAAAGAAGAAATGGTAAAGTTAGATGAAGATGAACAAGTCACTGAAACATGTAATCAGGACGATTCCAATAAGGCAGATGAAGAAATTGAATCTAAAGAAGATTTTAAAAATGACTATGAAAGCGCTCCAGACACAAATGTAAAGGAAATAAAAATTGAATTCGAGACTACATCACTACCGATTGAAACGATTGAAAATTTAGAAATAATGGTTGAACAGCCAGAAGATACAGAAAAAATAATAGAAAATATTGAACCTTTGGTAGAACCAAAACAAGATTTTGAGTCAAAAGAAGACCAAGCGGCTGAAACGCCATCAGGTGAACAGGTATTTGAAATTGTCACTGAAGCACACGTAGATTTGACTGCTTCTTTAGTAGATAATTTGGCACCAATAGAAAATATTGATGATATTTGGCCCTATTCATCACCACACATTATGCCACAATCTGCAATTGCAGTTGATTTACCAGCTCAAACCGAAACATATAAAGGTTCTGAGGGTATTTGGCCACAAAACTTAACAATTGGAAGTAATATCGATTTTAATGATTATTCATTTGAGCGCACATTAGAAAAGTCTTTCGACTATTTAGATAATTCTAGTTTTAATGCAGATGTAGACGATATTCCTGAAAAACCAGAAGAAAAATTAACTGTAACAAAGAACGATGAAATAGTCCCTAAAGTTGATGAGAACAATGAAACAATAGAATTTATCAGAAAAGAACAGTATATACAAGAATCTTTACCAGACCAAATAGAATCTGGCATTTCAAAGACATGTCAAGACATTGAACTTGAGACACCTGTCTTAGAATCATCAATTGATTTTGCACCAAATGAAATTACCCAGCAGGAACAAGAAAATAATCTTTTGGAAATTCTACCTGAAGTTTCACAAGCTGAAAAGATAATTACACAAAACATAATAGAAAATTCATCAATCGAATCATTGCGTTCTGATATAAATCCTCAAAACCAAGTAATTGAAGAAAATCCAATAAGTGCTCCAGTATCTCCATCCAAATCTATTCCACAAATTGCAACTATAACAATAGTAAAAACAATGACTTTCTTGGAAAAGGAAAAAGTAAACGCTTATGAGTTAATACCGGAATCAATTGAAACTAGAATGATTGTAAAAACTCCAGAGCCCATCGAAATGAAAGAAGATATTCCAGAAGAAAACTTGATACCTGAAGAAAAACAAGAGGATCTATCAGATCAAAAAACCGAAGACATATCAATTGAAAAAGACAGAAAACCTCAAATTAAAACATTAGAAGAAATTACTCTTGAAGAGAAGGAGCTAAGAGAACACGACTTAGAAAATGTCTTGATAAATGAAGAACTAAGAGAATTTAATGAGCCTGATCAGTTATCAACTATTGAAAAATCTGACCATTCAAGTATATTTTCTGAAAGTCAAGTTGAAAATGTCTTAGAGGAAAATATCTTTAAAGAACAACTTATTCAAGAAAAGCTACTGCAAGATGACGAAAAACTAATAGTACCACCCCAGTCTGAATCAAACGAAGAACAAATCGAGGAACAGCCAGCAATCAAAGAAGCATTTTCTCAACGAGAAATTTATGATGAAAACATTTTAATACACGATTCTAATAAGGATCAGACAAACTTAGAAGATTTTGAATTACATTGCGAGCCTAAAACTTCAGATTTTGATACCTTCCAAGTTGTTTTGAAATTCGATCCTAAAGAAGTGACAAAAGTCAATGTTAATTTGACTGACGAGTCTCCTTTGTCATCCACACCAACAGAACAGATTGCTAGTTTCCCAGATAGTATCGAAAAAGTACAATCAATTGAAGTAGAACCTTCTACTCTAGATTTGGAGACTACAAAGGAACACGAAAAAATAATAACAGATACAAGTACAATAAGAAGTACTGGTTATGAAGCTGAAGATCGTGACGAAAGTGGTGATAGTAAAGGTAAAAAGAAAAAGAAGAAGGATAGAAAGAAAAAGCAAACTGTTAAACCAGAAGAAATCCCAACCGCGATTCCAAAGTCTTCTGATGCTTCGTCTGTCCAGGATGCTACAAGCATAGTTTCATCTGATAATGAAAATGTTATGCCAGAAGAGGAACACTTACCAGAAGGCAGAGAAACAATTTTGTCTCCTGATGAGAGTTATCACTCAATTTCAGAAAGTGAGCAACAATCGGTGAAAATATTAGAGGAAAACATAATTGCAAGTCCTGAAGAGTCTATTCAGTCTCAACCAGATACTGGAATTATATATCCTACTGAAGTGATTGAAGTAATGCAAGTGGAAGACTCGGAGCAACAAACTGAACCTGTAATCTTAACAGAAACTCGACAAATCTGTGAACCAACTAAAATAGAGACAAAAGAAATCCAAACAGTATTGGAAACAGTTGAAACAGAAACTCAAATGTCTCCAGTTGTAGCAAAAGAATTTGATTTTGAGCCAAAACCCACTACAGAAACTATTGATAGTTCTATGCAAACAGTTATTATGAAGTTTATAGAAACAGAAAGTCAGACCTCTGAAGTTCAAAGTAATGAATTGCAAACTAGTGTGGATAAGAAATTGCTGCAAGAACAAGAAATTCAGACGGAAGATATATCCACGAATGATATGATTAAAAAACAAGAAACATCAATGCAAACTGTCCCAATCGAAACTATTGAACAAATTGCACAAACTGATATCATTGTTGACACGTTACAAGAAGAAGATGAAAAGAATATTGTAGAAGAAATTGTACATGAAATGACATATAAAGCTGTTGGTAAAGGAACACCACAACATTCAACTGAAGAATTTATTAAGTCAGAAAGAGCAGTAGCTCCTGAAGATCCTAAAACACCTTCTCAAATATCAATGACTGATGCTGAAACACAAACTAAGAAAGGAAAGAAACCCAAAAAACAGAAATCAAAAGATGATCAAAAGACAGAGTTACAAATCGAAACAATAGTCACACAACCATCAAAAATAGAGGAAAAATCACAAGTCACAATGAGATTAGTACCAGAAACAAATTTGGATAATATTGATGTTCAAATAAAAATCGATATACCAACTCAAAATGAACCAGATAATGTTTTGCGTCGATTAAATGACATAATGAATATTGAGACATGCGAGGAACCAAAAGAGAACTTTTCGCTTTCACAAAATCTCAACAATCTCATAATTAGCACTGATCAAAGAGGATTTGAAGCTGTACCATGGAGTGAAGTGCAGTATATGATAGATACAAATATTGATAATCGTCGTATTAACAACACATATGAGTTTATGACGGAATATGAAATAGAGGAACCTGTTGATGAAAAAATTAACGAGTCTCTCCAGAAAATTGAACAATATATTGATATATTACCAGACGTTATCAATAGTAAAGAGGAAAAAGTTACACAAAAAACAATTATAGTAATAACTAAAGTTATTGTAACATGTCTGGAACAAATTGAGTATAAAATATATCGCATGAAGCAGCAAAACCAACCAACATCTGATGATATGAATGAACTTCATCGATTAGAGTCCTTACTTCAATCATTAAAAAATAATGTGGCTCCAATCGAAAATGAAAAATTACGATCTGAAATAACCAAATGCGTCGATACACTCCAACAGCATGTTAAGCTTGACAAAGAAGTTCAAGAAGATGTGTCGAATGACATTAAGAATTTTTATACTGAAATGAGTAGTGCAGATGACACAATAAAACGTTTACAACAGGAGACAATTATACTGGAAGATAGATATAAGTATATTCTACAAACAGATTTTCCTAATGATGACAGACTCAAGCACTTGGAATCATTAGAAATAGCTTGTAAAGAAAATAAGAAATCTGCATTGCGTGCAACCAAGATGAAAAATTTAAGTGATGATCAATCAAATACAGTAAAATCATGCTACGATCGAACAAAAGACATGGAACATGTTATTAGATTGGAAAAGAGAAAACTGATACAATTAATAAATTTATCAGAAGAATATGTTCAGACACTTAATGAATTTTCACAAATAACACTTGTTGCAAATTCATTGGTTGATAAAACAATTGTAACAAACAGTTTGGACCATTTACAAAATGAAATTCAAAGACATAGAAAATTCTTCATAAATTTAAATCATTGTCGTAATATTCTTGAATCACTTGAGAGAAATCTGGACACGGAAACACGGGAAAAACACTCAATTTTACATAATGCACTTCATCAAAAGGCTACAAACATTCTTGAAAAAGCTGGTGAGAGATCCCAAAAACTTTCCTTAGCTGCATCAAAATGGACAGTTTTAGATAAACGCATGAAAAATGAAGAACAATGGTTACAAGTGGCTGAACAACGAGTACCCGATTTGAGTAGTGTGACTTCCGCAGATTATGAGCAATATATAACCTTGTATCAATCTTTAAATTCTGATCTGACAATGCATCAAGCAAAGATGTATCAAAATTATGAAACATCTATTAAACTTCAAGAATTGATTTGTGCTCCAAATTTGGAAACAAAGTGTAATGATTCATTAACAAAATTAGTAAAGATTAAGGAAGATGTCAACACTTATCTCAAACGATTGTTACACTTCAAACAAATGTGGTATGAATATAACTTAAATGCTGATAAATTAGAACATTGGATGAATCAAGTTGAAGAGGAGCTGAATAAAATTGATATTCCTGAAAACTTTATGACGTATCCCGTTGAAAATATGAGAAACTTCTGGGAAATAAAAGCACAATATGAATTTAATCATCAAATTCACAAAAATGTCTGTGAAAATTTTGACAAATCACTAAAAATCATTAGCCTTGCTGATGATAAGCTGCAGTTGCAATTCTATGCTCAACTAGACGATCGTTGGCACAATATTACAAATCGAATTGATGCTGTTAAAAATCAAATTACTGAAAATATATCATCAACAGCTCCATCTTATAATGATAAACTTGTTTTCCTTGAAAATGAGTTGGATGAAATTCTCTTCATCATTAATAACACAAAGGGTATCATCCGAAATCCAGAAGAATTAAACCTTTATATCGAACGTCTGATCGTCCTCAGAAGTAGAATTTTAGTTGTTGAAAATGAACTAGTAACAATTGGATTCATGTCAACATCCGATACAGAAAAAGTTGGAGAGCTATGTAACAAATCACACAAAATATCACTGTCTATTACAGAGGAAATGGAGTTAGCAGATTTGTGCAAAGGTAGACTTAACACTCTTAGGCAAGAAATCAGCATGATTCGCGAAGATCAGGTTGATTTTTATGAACATTTGTCAGATTTTGAAGGTGCTGCGAAACTTGAAAGTGCAGCCATTGAAAAAGCTTTAGAAGGATGTCAGATTTCACGTGAAAATCTTGTAACTCATTGGAAAGATATTATGAGAGTTCGTCATCTTTTACATACTCTTCCTACTGGCTTAAGAATGTCCGTATCACCAGTAGATATTGAAAAGGAAATTTCACAGCTAGAAGATGACTACGTTGATATTGAGAAGCGATTATGTGAAATAGAAAGTTTATTAAAGAACCGTTCTGCATTATGGAAACGCTTTGATAAACAACTTGAAGTCATTCAACAATCTATTCAGGAAACCGATTTCATGGTCGAATTACTAACTGTTCATGGAAATATTGATTATGATCGCTTATTAAAAGCAACAGAAAGATTAGAGGTAAGATCAATTTTAATCAAAGAAAACAAACAATTAATAAAATATTATTTTTCAGGACTTATATGAAGATTTAGGATCTCGAGAAGAAGCTGTAAAGAACCTTAAAATATATGCTCAACCATTAGTCGAATTTTGTGAAGAACATGTCGCACATGATATTGAAAATACCATGCAAAAAGCTTCTATTCAATGGAATGAAACAAATAACAATTTAAAACAAATTTGTGATAAATACAAGGGAGCTGTTAAATTATGGAAGCGATATTGCGATGAAAGTGAAGTTATTCGAAATGAAATAGATCAACATTTCAGTGATGTTGACGACCTCATGGAAAATAAATCAGCTGAGGAAATTGAGGTAAATAGACCACTTAAAAAATGTTTGATTGTAATTCTAGAACGAGTATGGCCTAATTTGCAAGGGGTTTACGATACAAATTAATGAGAATTAAAAGTTTGAAAAACTTTTTCACATATCCAGAAAAAAAAACTTTTCTAGCCTTCTAATTCTCATATCGATTGTTGCAATTTACTCATAATTTTTTTATTTTCTTTTCTATTAGGTATTAGAAGGCATTCTTACAACACATCGTCAAAAGCTCAGTGATTTACAAAATCTCGCTGCCCAAATTAGTGAATTTGTCGGTGCCGATTCATCCATTCAAATAGACACTGGTATAACCGAATTAAGTAATCAACTTGGTGAAATTGTGGAAGTTATTGAAGCTTGCAAAAATTTAAATAATGCTAATAATAACAATATTCAGGAATCTCGAAACATAATTGTGAGCAAATCACACAGTTTAATATCTAATGTAACTGAAGATTTAAAACAGAAAAATTCAAATGACGAAGATCAATTAATTCTATTAAGATCACATCTGTTGAATTTGGGATTAATTGAAAATGATTTACAAAATGTAAAACTTGCTTCTACCATGAATAATGAAGAAAACAACTCAGTTTTGGATACATTAAACACATTGCAAGAATTATTCAGGCAGACAATAAGTGAATATAACAAGATTTCTTCTCATTTGGTGCACAACGCAGATAATACGGTAATTTTCAAAATTTGGCTTGACTACCTATCACACGTCAGTTCATTCCTCCAAACACCAATTCCGTCAGATTATAATGTACTCAAAGAACAACTACATTTGTGCAAAATTCATCAGAACCTTATAACTAATCAACGTAATGCTTTGATGCATAAGATAAGCATTGATGATTCAATGCTAAAGGACGTTGGCGAATTTAAGCAAGAACATGTTGCAATATTAAATTATCTCAATGATCGCCATGTTGAAATTGAGTCACGTATAAGTTCGTGGGAAAAATATAGAAAACGTCAGGCTGATTTATTAGAAACGATTGATGATATTGAGAGACAAAAATCCACATTGCATTTAAAACAAATTTACCTTAAATCAATCGGGAAAATCAAGAATCAAATTGATGAAATATTGTTAAAAGTAACAGATGCTGAAAATGATGTGATTAGTATGAAGGATAATCAAATTAATTTACTAAGCTTCATTGACGATATCACTTCATCAGCACTAAGATTAGAATTTGCATCAACTCATCAAAGATTGGCAAATATTCGAGCTAGTCTTGAAACATGGATAGATTTCCTAAAACGAATTCAGGGTTTGAACACTTCATATGAATTCAACGTTAAATCAATACAAGACAACTATCAACGTCAGTTGAATTTCCTTAACAGCGTTAAAAGTGAGACTAATAAAAACTTTATAAACTCAAAGCAGCAATTGGAAGTTCTAAAGGAAAAACGAAATTCATTAAATGGAATTAAAGCAGAATTGGAAAATTTAAATACAATGAAAGATGAAATGAAAGATTACGTCAGCTCTTATGATATTAAAATGATAAGACAAACGATTTGGATTTTATGGCAACAATATAGTGATCTTAATCATGAATATTCGTTGCTTATTAATCATATTGAAGAAAGAATATGTCTACAAACAGAATTTATTATTCGTTATGAAAATCTTATGTACTGGCTCAACGAAACTGAAGGCCGATTAATGGAAGCATCATCACAAAAATATTACTCCAATAAAAAAATGCAGGATGATGACTCTTACATGAAATATCACGCAGCTAATATCCTTGAGGAATTTGCATTGAAGGAATATGATCGTAAATGGATTGAATCCGTTGGTAATGAGCTATTAATGTTTTATGCAAATGAACAAAATTATGACAGCCCCGAAAAGATTGAAATAGAATCCAAATTAGCCAACTTGAATACAAAATGGAACAACATTAAAACACTTTACGATAATCGCTCCAAAAAGATTAATGACATAAAGGCAACTTACTATAGTTTGGAAGCTCGTATTGCTGAAATTCGTGCTTGGCTGTTTGAAACAGAAAAGGAACTTATAAAACCATATACTTTTGACGAACCCACAAAGGCAGCATTTGAGAAGCAACTATTTGAATATGAGAAAATGCAACGTTCTGTTGAAAATAACAGCGCAAATGTAGCTGAAATTTTAAATCTAAGCGAAATGGTCCTTAGTGAATTAAGAAGTCTTGACATGGAAATGAGTGTTAGAAATCTAGATTCTGCTTTAAATAATATTGAATATAGATGGAAGAGATTATGTGAATCTCTTGTAAGCAGAAAGAGAAATCTTTTGACGCTCTGGAATAATCTCGATGAAATGACAACAACTACAAAAGCTCACGCACAGTGGCTAATTGATTGTGATGAATTATGTAATGAAATAGAAACTAAGGCATCAATTACAATAAACCAAGAGTTGTCTCAAAAATATAATGAAAAGCTAAGTGAATATGTTGACAAACTTTCCAATGAAACACAAACTCTACAGATCTTGGAAAAACTATACAACAATGTTTTAACATCTAATGTTGATGTAAATAATATTCGCAGCATAACATTTGAGACAAGAAGGATTCTTATAATATGGAAGACAATTATAATACGTATTACGAAAATAAAAACAATATTACAGCAATATATTGATCAGTTTAGGCAGTTTGATGATTGGTATGAAAGAATTATCCTAAAATTGACTCAAATAGATGTTGAAATTACAAATATAAAACACTTAAAAATATACGAAGGAACAGATGAAGAACTTGAAAAACTAAATGACCTTAAGAAAGATTATGAGCAATGCGAGAAGCATATAGAAATAGCTGAAGATGTTCGCAAGGTTCTCATGGAAAATTCTAACGAGGAAGAAAGACTTCGATTAAAATCAATGAGTGACGAAATATATAAAGTTTTTGTTAGCATTAAAGACAATTATAATTCAATGAAAGATGAATATGAAAATGCTTTAAAAGTAGATGCTGTTGAAGAACGTGACGTAGCAGTTCAAGTTAATACATTACAAATGCAATCTAGTGTATCACCCAAAGATGCATATTTGTATGAAATCAAGACAGCAATTGCAGAATTTAATACTAATATTAATGCTTTAGAAAAGCAATTGGAAGGTGTGGATACAACTGATAGATCAGGAATAATAAGTAAAACAATATCACAAAAAGTTGGTAAAAATATTGCTGCATGTGAGTCATCTCTTGAATTGCTAAAATACTTAAACTCGTTGCTTATTAACGATTACTTATGTAATGATGAGGAAGCATACACAAAAGATATTGAAAAACTCTACGATCTTTTCCAAATTCAATTGGGAATTTGGAATGGTAAGAAAGATAGTAAAAGACAACAATTTGCTGAACATTCTACTGAAGCAGATTGGCGTTCATGTCCTTTCTGTAGTCAAAGAAATTGGCAACAAATAGACAATGATTTATGGAGATTAGAACAATGGCTACACGTAGCTGAAAATGAACAAAAGACACAACAATCACCTCCTAATAATATTGAAGAACTCGAAGATGTAATTCAAGATCATCGAGAATTTCTTCTCAATCTCGATAGTCACAAGAGCATAATTTCATCATTAAATATTGTTGGTGAACATCTTGCTCTTCACACATCCGATACGTCCAAAGCACAGCAATTAAGAAAACGACTAGCAGATAATAATCTGCGATGGGAACAAATTTGTCAACATGCCACAGCATGGCAAACAAAATTACAAGATTGTTTGATTAGCAATAGAGAATTCCATAAAATTATAAACGAATTCAATGTCTGGCTAGAAGATACTGAAAGAAAAATTAAGCTCTTTGAACCTGTTGATTTATCATCTGAAAAATCAATCATGGAGTCAAAATTTTTGCGATTCAAAGAACTTAAATGCGAAATCGAACGATGCGAACCTAGAGTTATAAGTTTACAAGAAAATTCAGCGCAATTGTTAAAGTCATCAGATAAAGCTGGTGTTGCAAAAGAAACGTTTACTAAGTAAGTTTTTTCAATTAAATTCTTGGAAATAATTTCTAAGCATTTTTTTTTTTTCATTTTAGACTTTCAGACTTGAGCGTGAAATTACAATCGTTAAGAAGATTAACAGCCCTATATGTACTAAAACTAGGCGCTGTTTTAGGATATGATGAGTCATATATAAACGCTCCTTTAAGCTCAAGTGTAAGTTTTTTTACTGAACTATTATGTTTAATGTACGTAGAATATAAACATACCAATGGAGTAATTGAGCACAGTATATTTGAATAGCATTGTTTGTATAAAACAGAATTTATCTGTGCTTTATGCAGTGCTTTAAACTAATTTTAATTTTCACAGTAAAAGTTGTATTTTATATTATTTATATTTTGTCATTTATTTTTAAATGTAGCAAATTGAACAAATTGGAAGATCAAGCAGTAGCATTAGAACTTTGACACACTCTGCGAAGTAATTATATTAATTTATTTTTTTCTAATTATATTAAATTAAAAGGAAATCACAAGTATGATATCTAACTTGAACATTTGCTCTTTTTCAAACAGCTTACAAGATGCGGTCGAAGAGGAAGAAGAAATCAACCAAGAAGTTCTAACAAGAACCTATCGTTTCCTCGGACGTGTCATGCGTGCATCCCTTCCTATTCAAGCTCTTATGCTTGTTTTGTTAGGTGCAGTTGCTTTGATTCCTATTCCTAATAGTGATGATGGTGGCTACTCATGTTTATTAACAAATACTTTTGGAAAATTTGATCCAATTTTACGATACCGCAATGGCAACCCTCCAATTTAGAGAAAACCGATGACTTTATTTGTTACATCAATGCGCGGAACAATATCAATGTTTTGCCTGTTTTATGTTCGATTTTGATTTTTTTAAAGTTTTATAAATAGCATTTTTTATATATTTATATTTTTTTTTTATTATTGAGGTTTTAAAATCTCTTTATGTTATTCATATCTTACTATATACAAAAAATATGTAAAAGTGATAAAAAAAAATAGTCATTTCATGATTGATTATGATCCTCTCAAAAATTGAGAAAAAAAAACTAAATTTGAGAAAACGTTGATGGAAAAGTATCCCTTGCATTTACATCATCATGTGATGACTTTTTATTGCTGTATTTAGTCATTTTAGATTTAAGATGTTAAACATTATTTGTTATTTTTTGCATTTCTTTTTGTTCAGTTTATGTTATTTTTTATTATCATTTATTATAATATAACTTTTATCGCATTATATACACAGATAAAAAGAAAAATAAATAAAAAGAATTCCTTCAATATACCTACTATAAAATACTTCTTGGTCTTTTTTTAAACAAATTTAATTATTTACCGAAGTTTATTCATAACAATTTTAAAGGTTTTAAATTTCTTCACATCGCAACGGATTTTTTAAATTCAAAAACATTTATCTTTTTTTTTATATTCACACCGTTTTCACGTGTGAATCTATTGATTTTGTTCAGATTGGAAAATCAGTTTTTAGAATTTTGTGAGGATATGGAGCAAGATAGCTTAAAATGTTCAAAGATGAAAAGTTTGTGCCTTGAATTTCACATCTTTTGCAAAAAACAGATTTCAAATTGGTTGCGGCATTGCTGAGAAAATCGCAAAATAAGCTTTCTGTAATCAAGCAAACAAGCAAACAAGCAAGTTAATCAGCAAGAAATCTCAATAACGAGACATCGTAGAGACTTCTAGTTTTTTACATTAGATCCGTGCTGCTCTATAGAAGAGCTGTATTGTTTTTGGGCAAGGTAGGAATAGCCGTTGCTTCAGAAAAAGCAAAAAACTTTCCTTTCTTACGAATTTTTCAAATTAAAAGTTCACTGTGATTTTTTTTTTAAATTAAACTTTAAATTTTTTTGAGCAAAGAACCAAGTAGGAAATACATTTTCAATTTTGGACTAGGGGCGACCCTAGTCAAAATCAATTTTGTCACTTTTTTCTTCGAGGGTTTATCCAAATGAATTGAAATTTTGCATAAATATTCTAGTGTTTAAAACAAATACAAATAAAACATTCTAAAATTTTTTTGAGCAAAGAATCAAGGAGGAAATACATTTTCAATTTTGGACTAGGGGCGACCCTAGTCAAAATCAATTTTCTCACTTTTTTCTTCGAGGGTTTATCCAAATGAATTGAAACTTTGCATAAATATTTTTGGGTTTAAAACAAATACAAATAAAACATTTTAAAATTTTTTTGAGCACAGAATCAAGGAGGAAATAAATTTTCAATTTTGGACTAAGGGCGACCCTAGTCATAAATATTCGTCATAAATATTTGCATAAATATTCTAGTGCTTAAAAGGGTGAAGTGCATCTGGCAGACTCGAGAATTCTGCAGAATTCTGGAACACAGTTGTGCAGAATAATTCTGCAGAATTCTCCAGAATTCTGGAGGATTATTTATCAGAATTCTGGAGAATTTTTTGAAAAATGTCACGCGACACATTCGCAACATGATTTCAGAAAACAGAATTTTTTAACAGAATTCTGTAGAATTATGGACAAATAATTCTGGAGAATTCTGTAATAGTTTTTATATAAATTGTCAAAAACACCCTATACTATTTGGCATTAGCTATTTAGCTACAACTGTAGATTACAGATGAACTTCCTTCGTTACGTAAAAATCAAATTAAAGCTGTAATTTACAGATGGTGTTTAAAGCTTAGCTGCTGAGCAGTACTTACAGTTTTATAAAAATCAAATTTTTCACTCTGGATGTTAACATTTAAAATATAAATAAAATAATACAAGAATAAAAACTGGAAACAAAAACCTAAACAATGATAGTAAACAACCTAGGAAATACTTATGAATGGCTTCGATTTAAATCTAGCACCATGCCAAAGTCACACCAGGTTGATGCTGGATTTCTGATTAATTTACCGACTTGTGTCATTCGGAATAGAACCAAAAACTGAATGCTTCATTCAAATAAAAAATATAATGCTAATTTTATGTTTATACATAACGATTCATTGAATTCGTGCTAGAAAGCATTTAAAGTTATTAATTACCAATCGTTTTCAAACTTTTGCACGCTACTGTACCTTGTTTTCTATTCAATTTTTTTGTAAAAGGAAATGTCATAGTCAAAACCAGCGGAATTCACGTGAAATTACATCAACTGTAAGTACTGCTCAGCAGCTAAGCTATAAACACCATCTGTAAATTACAGCTTTAATTTGATTTTTACGTAACGAAGTAAGTTCATCTGTTATCTACAGTTGTAGCTAAATAGTATAGGGTGTTTTTGACAATTTATATAAAAACTATTACAGAATTCTCCAGAATTATTTGTCCAGAATTCTCCAGAATTATTTGTCCAGAATTCTCCAGAATTATTTGTCCAGAATTCTCCAGAATTCTGTTTTCTGAAATTATGTTGCGAATGTGTCGCGTGACATTTTTCAAAAAATTCTCCAGAATTCTGATAAATAATTCTCCAGAATTCTGGAGAATTCTGCAGAATTATTCTGCACAACTGTGTTCCAGAATTCTGCAGAATTCTCGAGTCTGCCAGATGCTCCGGAATCAAAAATACAAATAAAACATCCTAAAATGTTTTTGAGCAAAGAACAAAGTAGGAAATACATTTTCAATTTTGGACTAGGGGCGACCCTAGTCAAAATCAATTTTCTCACTTTTTTCTTCGAGGGTTTATCCAAATGGATTGAAACTTTGCATAAATATTCTAGTGTTTAAAACAAAAACAAATAAAACATTCTAAAATTTTTTTGAGCAAAGAATCAAGGAGGAAATAAATTTTCAATTTTGGACTAGGGGCGACCCTAGTCAAAATCAATTTTGTCACTTTTTTCTTCGAGGGTTTATACAAATGGATTGAAACTTTACATAAATATTATAGTACTAAAAACACATACAAATAAAATATTTTTGAGCAAAGAACCAAGTAGGAAATACAATTTAAATTTTGGACTAGGGGCGACCCTAGTCAAAATCAATTTTCTCACTTTTTTCTTCGAGGGTTTATCCAAATGAATTGAAACTTTGCATAAATATTTTAGTGCTTTAAACAAATACAAATAAAACATTTTAAAATTCTTTTGAGCAAAGAACCAAGTAGGAAATACATTTTCAATTTTGGACTAGGGGCGACCCTAGTCAAAATCAATTTTGTCACTTTTTTCTTCGAGGGTTTATACAAATGGATTGAAACTTTGCATAAATATTCTAGTGTATAAAACAAATACAAATAAAACATCCAAAAATTTTTTAAAGCAAAGAACCAAGTAGGAAATACATTTTCAATTTTGGGATAGGGGCGACCCTAGTCAAAATCAATTTTCTCACTTTTTTCTTCGAGGGTTTATCCAAATGAATTGAAACTTTGCATTAATATTTATGGGTTTAAATTTAATACAAATAAAACATTTTAAAATTCTTTTGAGCAAAGAATCAAGGAGGAAATAAATTTTCAATTTTGGACTAGGGGCGACCCTAGTCAAAATCAATTTTCTCACTTTTTTCTTCGAGGGTTTATCCAAATGAATTGAAACTTTTAATAAATATTCTGATGCTTAAAACAAATACAAATAAAACATCCTAAAATGTTTTTGAGCAAAGAACCAAGTAGGAAATACATTTTCAATTTTACACTAGGGGCGACCCTAGTCAAAATCAATTTTGTCACTTTTTTCTTCGAGGGTTTATCCAAATGAATTGAAACTTTGCATAAATATTCTAGTGTTTAAAACAAATACAAATAAAACATTCTAAAATTTTTTTGAGCAAAGAATCAAGGAGGAAATACATTTTCAATTTTGGACTAGGGGCGACCCTAGTCAAAATCAATTTTCTCACTTTTTTCTTCGAGGGTTTATTCAAATGGATTGAAACTTTGCATAAATATTCTAGTGTTTACAACAAATACAAATAAAACATCCTAAAATGTTTTTGAGCAAAGAACCAAGTAGGAAATACATTTTCAATTTTGGACTAGGGGCGACCCTAGTCAAAATCAATTTTCTCACTTTTTTCTTCGAGGGTTTATCCAAATGAATTGAAACTTTGCATAAATATTTTAGTGCTTAAAACAAATACAAACAAAACATCTTAAAGTTTTTTTGAGCAAAGAATCAAGGAGGAAATACAATTTCAATTTTGGACTAGGGGCGACCCTAGTCAAAATCAATTTTCTCACTTTTTTCTTCGAGGGTTTATCCAAATGGATTGAAACTTTGCATAAATATTCTAGTGTTTAAAAAAAATACAAATAAAACATCCTAAAATGTTTTTGAGCAAAGAACAAAGTAGGAAATACATTTTCAATTTTGGACTAGGGGCGACCCTAGTCAAAATCAATTTTCTCACTTTTTTCTTCGAGGGTTTATCCAAATGGATTGAAACTTTGCATAAATATTCTAGTGTTTAAAACAAAAACAAATAAAACATTCTAAAATTTTTTTGAGCAAAGAATCAAGGAGGAAATAAATTTTCAATTTTGGACTAGGGGCGACCCTAGTCAAAATCAATTTTGTCACTTTTTTCTTCGAGGGTTTATACAAATGGATTGAAACTTTACATAAATATTAAAGTACTAAAAACAAATACAAATAAAACATCTTAAAATATTTTTGAGCAAAGAACCAAGTAGGAAATACAATTTAAATTTTGGACTAGGGGCGACCCTAGTCAAAATCAATTTTCTCACTTTTTTCTTCGAGGGTTTATCCAAATGAATTGAAACTTTGCATAAATATTTTAGTGCTTTAAACAAATACAAATAAAACATTTTAAAATTCTTTTGAGCAAAGAACCAAGTAGGAAATACATTTTCAATTTTGGACTAGGGGCGACCCTAGTCAAAATCAATTTTGTCACTTTTTTCTTCGAGGGTTTATACAAATGGATTGAAACTTTGCATAAATATTCTAGTGTATAAAACAAATACAAATAAAACATCCAAAAATTTTTTAAAGCAAAGAACCAAGTAGGAAATACATTTTCAATTTTGGGATAGGGGCGACCCTAGTCAAAATCAATTTTCTCACTTTTTTCTTCGAGGGTTTATCCAAATGAATTGAAACTTTGCATTAATATTTATGGGTTTAAATTTAATACAAATAAAACATTTTAAAATTCTTTTGAGCAAAGAATCAAGGAGGAAATAAATTTTCAATTTTGGACTAGGGGCGACCCTAGTCAAAATCAAGTTTCTCACTTTTTTCTTCGAGGGTTTATCCAAATGAATTAAAACTTTGCATAAATATTCTAGTGTTTAAAACAAATACAAATAAAACATTCTAAAATTTTT